GTCGGAGAAGGAGGAAGAAGACAAAAGCTCAGCCCGCTCCCTCATCCCGCTCACAAATCCAAAGAGACGTGGAGGAAAGTCTGAAGACACGACTGGTGGAGCCGGATCCAAGGGCGACACAACGAACATGAACTGAACGACTGGGATTATTTTTTAACAAGAATAAATGTTTACGTGATCGAGGAATAAATTAATTCGGCTTTAAAATCGCACTAAACCACCCACTTACTTCGGGATTAAGTTTAATTCTGAATAATCATTTTCATCAGGATTTAAGTATTTCCTTTTTTTTTTTTTTTTTTTTTTTTTGATTTACAGGGTATTTTTTTTAAGTGGAATAAATTTTTTATTCAGAATTATTATTATCATATTTTTTTCATGTAAATGTGGCAACTGTGAAACATTCCAGACAAAGCAATAGAAATTCCATGGAGAAAAGCGTTTGAAAGACCCTCCACCAGAAAAGTTACGCAATGCACCTTTAACAAACTGGGAGAAAGTTCTATTTTTTTTTCTTTTAAACGACTAATACGATGAGGCAAATTAAAACTTCAAAAATTATCAAAATATAAGAATCAGAATATAAAGTCTGCCTTAAAAAAAGTTGTTAATCTCTCAAAAAATTCACATTCTTGTTTCATTTTTTTTTACTTTTTTTGAAAACCCCACTATGTAACTTCTTGAGACTTGCTCGTCTCCACGGAGATGTCACTGTTTGTCAGGAATGTTCCACAGTATTGTTAAAATAATCTCCATGGAAACATGCAAGACCAAGTTACAGGTCAGATCTGTGGAGATGTGAGCGTGCCGAGTACCTTTTTAAATCTTTCTCTGATTCAATAAATGCAAGATTTTCAAGTTTAAAGTCACTGTGGGACATTTCAAGCAACGTATTAACATCTCCATGGAGACAAGCCACTGGGAAAGTTACATAGTGCAGCTTTAAGTCAAAAAGACAAGAACGTACCTTTTTTGTGAGTTTTGTGAGAGATTAACACAAATTTTAAGGAAGATTTGACACTATTTTGAACTTTTGTCTCAATGGCGCAAAGGATTTCGGTTTAATCTAAAAACGTAACAAGAAATTTTGAAATTATTTTGAATCTGACGCGGCCAAGTCCACTTTTCGTATGAACCTATGATAATTCCACCACGAAATCAAAAGGCTAAAAAGCAGACAACACTTAAATGTAAACAAATAAAAACATGGATTTCACTCTTTAACTCTCGCTCAAACCCGAACTTCACATTTTCGCACTTTCGAATCAGTCTAAAGTGCAAATATTTGGCCTCGGAAATCAACTCATATCAACATTTTATCACCATTTGGCACGAATTCTGCCCATCCACCAGTAACACATGAACAAGATGTTTATGGCTGTCTCTCTCTACATGAACAAAATCAGAAAACATGGAGCGGATTCTCAGAAAGCAGGCAGTGAAATGAGCAGAAACATGGAATCAAAAACAGACTTACCTTGGTCTATTTAGAGTATTATTATTATTATTATTATTATTATTATGATTATTGACGATATTATAATCAGAACATTTGTACAAAAAGTGTGGGTTCATGAAAAAAAATGGTCCGTCTCTCACTCGTTGCTTTAAGGCGGAAGCAGCAACAGACGCCTCCTTCAGACCCGGCCTCAAAACTCTGATTAGTGTAAAAGTTTAAAGTTTAAGCAAAGTTATTTTATTAAGTAAACGATGAGGTAAATAAAGGCTTTCGCTGTTTCGTACGTTTAAGTCGTCTTTGTTTCATTGTACTGGTTATACTGATGTATCTATGAAAGGAAGTTCGTTTACTGATTTAAAGCCACACTGCGGAACATTCCTGGTTCTCTGTGGCTTTGTTACAACAAGCAGCTGACACGTAAAAATCCGTATATCATTTGTTTTCAAAATAAAACCAAAAATAAGAAAAAACTAACAAACAAACACACACACAAAAAAAAACTATTTTCATCATTATTTGTCAGACAATGATTCGTTTTTTTCAGTTTTCGTGTTTTAAATTTAAAAACGGATAACATGTTTTGAAACCAGAACTAAACCAAGACTGAACCAGGACTAAACCAGGACTAAACCAGGACTAAACCAGGACTAAACCAGGACTAAACCAGGACTGAACCAGGACTAAACCAGGACTGAGTGTCAGGATGGGCCCAGAAGTGCGCCCGCGTAGACTGTCAGGTGATCAGGACTGAGACCAGGACCAGACCAGGACCAGTCCGGGATGAGACCAGGACTGAGACTGGTTTAGTCCTGGTTTAGTCTTGGTTCAGTCCCGGTTCAGTCCTGTTGTAGTCCTGGTTCAGTCCCGGTTCAGTCCCGGTTTAGTCCCGGTTTCAGTCCCGGTTCAGTCCTGGTATAGTCCTGGTATCTCAGTTTAAATCATATAAAAGTCGTTATCTGTTTTGTTTTGTTTTTTTTTTTCCATTATTCATTTAAACACAAAATCTAAAACTAACAAAAAAAAAAATTAATCGTTAATTTTGGTTTTGGAGACAAATAATGAAGAAAATGTTTTTTTCATTTTCTTATTTTTGGTTTTACTTTGAAAAACGAACGAATGACACACGGATTCATAAACACGCCGGAGACATGAAAACGACACATCGGCAATGCTGTATTACGCTGGAAATTCAAGAAATAAAAGCAGAGCAACAGGTTCCGTCGCCGCCTCAAGGCCGAGTTACAGGTCAGGTCTGTGGAGAAGGAGAGCCCGCTCGTACAGAAAGTGAAATGTTCCGCAGCAGCAAATGATTTAAATGTACGATGGAGTAAAGAGATCTGAGAGCAGGTCTGAAGGAGCCCGGAGAGAGACTGTTGAACATACAGCCCTTGAGGATTGTATGAAACGGGAATCATACACCAAATACAAAACAGCGTGTGGGCGCTCGGTGGGGTCCAACGTGACGAGGCAACAGACGGTCATCACATTTGGATAAATCAAAGCAACTAAACACTCGAACAAACAGTCACATGGGTATTTCTATTGGATATTGACGTCTAAACCAAAATAGAGATTAAAACACAGTGTTGTGAAGGCTTCGGAATAGAGAATACTTTCAAATGAAGCGCATTATTGACAAAAATTGAACTGTTTATTCTTTTTTTTTTGACGTTTTGATTTGATGATGCGGGCACCGTGGTCTTTGTCATGTAAAATAAATCTTACAGAATAGAGAAAAATGCTCAAAATGGTGCCCAAGAAACAGGAAAGTTTAAAAAACGTACATAAAAAGCCTTTGGGGATGTATTTGAGCATTCACACCGTAAATATGATGACTGGAGGTTCATTTGGTTTTCCGATAATTTATGTTTTTAGGTTCTTTTTTCAGACCAAGAGTTTGTTTTCAGACCTGACAGTTTCAAGTGCTCACTGTGGTTTTTCTCAGAGTCTCGTGATGTTTCTGTGACATGTGGCTCAACAGTACCACTGCGCGCGGCCGCCAGGTGACAGCCGCGCGCAGTGGTACGTACGGAGAGAAAATAGCGCCAAGCGATTATGAGATCTGACTTTTTTGGCGACGATGGTTTTGTGATGCAAATGTATCACTCTTTTGAACACATATTGCTTTGAGAAGAAAAACGCTTTAGTAAACAGTCCCCACACAACTTGCCGAACTACTTTCCTCAGCACCAAAACGGGCCAGTATCTCGTCTCACCGGACGCTTTCGGGGGGTAAGTCGGTGTGGATGCACAACACTGATGACGGGGATGACATACAGATTTATGTCAAAAAATCCGAACTATCCCTTTAACGCTCAATTCCAATTTTTTTGTGAAAGCCGATGTTTTTTCGAGGTCGTTCACATTTCCAGTTAAATGTGACTTGTATGTGACTCCAGTGTGAACATTAAACGGTCCAAAAGTGTCCCACATGTGACACTGGAGACACGACGACGTCAACCGCAGCGAGCGTCTCTGTGTTTACAGAAGTTGTCCAAACATGGACGCAGCATCGAGCACCTGGAGATTTTAAAGTTCCTCTCGTACCGGAGCCAGAACATGAACAACTTACTTGTTTTAAGGAGGAGATTGAGAAGGAGAAGGACGAGGTTTTTGGTCGTGGTGTTTTGTGGTGAGTGGTGATGTGCTTCACTTCAGTGACACGGAGTTCATGAACAATTTTCTCCTACTTCAGTGCAGAATAGTGACGTTTGTGTCTTGTTGATAACGTGTAGGTGGATGAACCTGACCGTTCACACTGAAGTCACATGTCAAAAGATCAGATATGTATCAGTTTCAGGAGCACATATCCAAGTGTCCTGGGTCACATTTGAAAGAAATCGGATCTGTGTCGTTCAGACTGACATTAAAAGATCAGATACAGGAACATAGAGGCCAAAAAATCGGATTTGGGTCACTTCAGGCTGCAGTCTGAACATAGTCTTAGTCCACAAGTCCAAGTCATGGCTCGCAAGTCCACACCTCTGACCACAAGTGAGGCGTAAAAACTGTCAGGTATGAAAACAAACTCTTGGTCTGAAAAATGAACCTAAAAACATAAACAACAGATAAGAGCAGCTTTTATAGACCTCAGAACACACTGGAACATTTCGTTTGTATTAGTCCTACTCAAATATACAGTATATCCATTTGATTTGCCATTTGTAACCATCCAGACTGTGACTTTAATCTGTCAGTTTTTGTCTTTTTGGTTTCATTTTTAATCCCATCGCGGCGTTTTCCGTTGAACCCCACCGAGAGCTGCTCGAAAATGGTCGGTTCATTATTTCGTCATAGCAGCCCGGGGCGCCCACACCGTGTTCAAGTCCATACAAAAGTCCCTTTAAATATGTTTGGCTTCACTGTTTTGGTACGTACACTCTACAAACTAAACTCTTAACTCTCCCACAATCGCATACATTCAGAAGCTCAGAGGCTCGTATTGCATTGGTCACCGCCCGTCACACCGCAAAAAATGAGTCTGCGAGAGTCTACGATCACCTCAGGTTACAGGTTTTTTTTTTGATTTTTTTTAGTTTTTCATGGTCAACGCTGATACTGACTGTTCAGAATCCAAAGAATCTGCAGTTATTTTGGGCCGATATGTGGGGCGAATTTTGATTATTTGCCCAAAAAGTCTGAAATTCACAACAAACTCACCCGGAGCTTTTTTTTTTTTTTCTTTTTAAACCACAAATAAAAGTTTCGGTTTTGTGCGGCACTTGTGTTAAAATAAAGCTTTACGTGTATTTTTAAAGGCGCGCGGTGTACGTTTTCAGGTCCAAAATATTCCACATTACGGCATTAAACTTACTTATTTCGATAAAAACAAATATGTGGCACGATACATGGCAGATCAGTGGAGAGGTGAGCCCACTCACGGTACAAATGCGGACTTTTCGAGGTATTTCTGAGCGATAAAAACACCTGTATTTGAATCAGTGCATGAGACGATTGACTTTAATGCCATACTGTGGAACATTCTGGGCAAAGCTACAACATCTTAATTATTTATTACTTACTTTTTCTATTTTATTTTCATTCGGACATTCACATTTATATAATTACGCCTTATTCGACTCTAGTCTCTTGTTCTTTTTTGCTACTTATTTAGAATTTATTATTACCATTTATATTTTTTTCTTTTTGTTATTATATTTATTGTTTTATGTGAGCTCCGGTGTCCAAATAATTTCCTTTGTGGGTCAAGAAAGTTTGTCAAAGTCTAAAGAAATGACCAGAAAATTTACACATTGAACCTTTAAAGGGCGGTTCACACCAAAGCGTCAAAAAACGCCTGGACGTCTCTATTTGGAGCCTTTGCATTTGAGTTCAGACGCCCACGACGCGCGTATTTGACGCCGTGGACAAACGGGAGAAAAATACTTAATGCACGTCCGTTGCCCTGGAAACAAGAGCCCGGTCCCGCTCTTTTCCCAAAACAATGTCAGACCAGACTGAGAGACTTTAGTGTTTTTATGACATAAAAATCAGCGGAGGAGATCGACTCGACGACTGGGACGGATATATATTTATACTCCACTAATGACACTGGATCAGTCCCGGTCTAGTCCTTGCGATCGGCTCGGTGATTGTGGTGTATATGTTTATTCTCCGCTCATGTTTATGGTTCTCGTTCTGGTTCTCGGGTTTTTCTTCCTGATCATTACGTTGCTGCGTCTCTGGATACTCATCCCTGATTGGTTGACGCGGCGCGTCTGATGTGAAAAGTTCAGCATTTTCAACTTCTTGACGCTGACACCTTGGACGCGCATCTAGAGTGTCGACTCCAAAACGCTCAAGACTCGCCGCGTCGACGCCAGATTCGCGCCGCGCTGACGCTGAAGACGCGCCGCAAAAACGCAGGACGCTCTAGTCGCGCGTCCACATCGACTTTACATAGAAACTGGACGATTTGACGCTTTGGTGTGAACGAACCTTAAGACAGCAGGCCAGTCCAAAGTAAATGGTGGCACAAAAATGTAGATTCAAATCATTTTATTTTATACAATTTGTGGAGTATAAATGACATTTTTTACCGATATTTAATCTTAAAGCAGCTATATTTAAATATTTATGATATGACGATTGGCAAAAAGTGCGATTTTGTGACGCTTATGTAAAGTCCAGATCGTTTTTAGACTATAGAGGAGAATTTTAGGTTGTAGATTCAACTCAGGACAGTATCTATGAACCAAATTTGGGCAATTAAACGTGAACTGTGTAATTTTTTTGGTTGGGTGTCCTTCACCTAACACGGTATGACATTAAACTCTACTTTTATTTAATTACAGGTGGTTTTACAGCTCAAAAATACCTAGAAAACAGACATTCTGACTGTGAGCGGGATCGCCTCTCCACAGATCTGACCTGTAACTAACATAGGAAGACAAAATAAAGACATCCCCGTGAAAAAAAACACCAGAAGTGTTACACAATGCACCTTTAAAGTTTGAAAACTGTAACAAAATCCTGTAAAAATCTCAAATCCTATAAAATCTTAAATGTTTGAGCTCATGCAGACGTTCATTTTTTGCAGTGCGGTGCCGGGCCTTATAAACCGGAGATGATCCGAGCGCTAAAACGGCGGACTACAGAAGCGAGTCTACGTTCACATTGAAGGAGCAGGAGAGGACAGAGGCTCGAGGATTATTGCTGCCAAAATCTGATACTTTACATAGAAATACTGCGGTGAAGTACAGTGTGTGGAAATACTGTGGTGTATTCACAATGAGAGGGTCCGGCTCCTCTGCTCTGCCCATGAACCAGGACTGAACCAGGACTGAACCAGGACTGAACTAGGACTGAACCAGGACTGAACCTAGGACTGAACTAGGACTGAACCAGGTCTAAACCAGGACTGAACTAGGACTGAACTAGGACTGAACTAGGACTGACCAGGACTGAACCAGGACTGAACCAGGACTGAACTAGGACTGAACTAGGACTGAACCAGGTCTAAACCAGGACTGAACTAGGACTGAACTAGGACTGAACCAGGACTAAACCAGGAGTGTCGGGACGGGCCTGGAGATGAACCCGCGTAGACTGATCAAGACTGAAACTGGGACCAGATTGAGACCAGACCGGGGCTGAGACCAGGGCTGAGACCGGGGCTGAGACCGGGACCAGGACTGAGTCCAGGACTGAGTCCAGGACTGAGCCAGGACTACACTAGGACTAAACCAGAACTGAACCAGGACTAAACCAGATCCTGGTGTCAGTCCCAGTCTAGCCCCAATCTCGGTCCCAATCTCAGTCCCAGTCTGGTCCCGGCGTCAGTTCCCGGCGTCAGTTCCCGGCCTCAGTTCCCGGCCTCAGTCAAATCCCCAAATTAAACCATTGCCCAGCAGGAAATTTGCAAATTAAAGTCTGTATACCTGATAAACTTTGCTCAAATACATGGAAAAATGTGTCTTTCCCAGGTGTAAATACGCTTTTAAACATCTTTATATTTCCTAATCAATAAATATAATACTCAAAATGAAAATGTAAATACAAACATTTTTAGAGATGCATCGATTCGGCTTTTTCTGTTCCGATACCGATGTCGATACTTTGTCATTAAGACTCTGCTGATACCAGATATCAACCGATACTGGGGCAGAGACTGAAAATATAATTCATTTTCATTTAAACTCTGGCAACAAAACAGATCCAAATGTGTTTTTAATTGTTATGTATCATTTCTAAAGTACAAAACAGCTCTGAAAAATGTTAATACCGTAATTTCCGGACTATAAGCCTATACTTTTTTCTCACACTTTGAACCGTGCATCTTAAACAACGATGCAGCGAATATACGGACGAGTATTTGTTTATTTTTGGTTCACATTAAGCTAAATGAACATTAGTGAGTGAGATTTGTCTAAACAATCCGTACGTGTTAAATCAGGTGAGTGTGTAAATGACAAGAAAAAAACGTCTCAAACTTCAGTAGTCGAACATCCACTCATACCTGATCCATACACCTAACCCCACCCCCGAGAGAGTCTGAAATCTGATGAAATCAAGGACAGCGGCTCTTTCTGCAGGAGACATGAGCAGTAGCACCCTGATTCAACCGGTTCACTTTGCAGAAACTTGAATTTCATTTAAGATAAACCAGGTCTGAACCAGGATGGAAATAGGACTAACCCAGGTCTAAATCAGGACTGAACCAGGCCTAAACCAGAATGAAAACAGGACTAAACCAGGGCTACACCAGGACTAAGATGTCAAAATCCAACATTTTTCATTCACGTTAAACTATTTCTAAACCAGGTCTAAACCAGGCCTGAACCAGGATGAAAACAGGACTGAACCCGGATGAAAATAGGACTAAACTAGGACTAAACCAGGTATAAAACAGGACTAAACCAGAGCTAAACCAGGACTAAGATGTCAAAAAATCTAACGTTTTAGGAAAAAATCTCTGGCGCCTAAAGATTTAAAGTTTAGTTGACGCGGTTTATGTTCAGGTGCACTCAACAGTCCGGAAATTACGGTACATTTAATCCTTATGAGCAAACTGGCCATCAAACTGTCTCATTACACAAACTTACTGACAAAAAAAAAAAAAAAAAAAAAAAGATACTGGCTGATATCTGATACCAGTGTTGAATCAATGCATCTCTACAAATTTAGACTCAAAATCTAAAAAAAAAATTGGGCCTTTTTTTCCAGACTCTTCAGTTTTAAAGAGGTTGAAGCAGAGCAGAGGAGGTTTGGTCTGAGCGTCGTCTGTCCCTGTGTGTGTGTGTGTTTTTCTGCAGCGCTGCCCTCTAAAGTGCACAGGAGATTTGAGGCTTCCACCAATGGAATAAATACTTTAGCTTTATCGGGATGTGAACGAGATGATTTATGTAAACGATAAGTTCAAGTTTGAAATTGTACCAAAGCGTAACCGAGCCGAGAGACGCCGTTCGGAAAACACGCCGAGGTTTACTTCAAATGACACGAGATGAGCACATGTAAAGTCCAGACTCTTTATTCTCAAGTTACTCTTACTGTAGTAGTACTTTTCCCAAATTTTAAGTATCTGGACCATTACTTTGGACTTTTACTTGAGTTTTGGCCCCTCTGCTGTTAATACTGTTCCAAGAAAATGTGTGGAATAAAAAAAAAATGTACCAAAAAATTAATCGTTCGTTCATTTGTTTTTCAAAATAAAAGCAAAAGTAAGAAAATGAAAAAATAAAAACAAAAAACTATGATTTTCTTCATTATTTGTCTCCAAAACCAAATTGAAAAAACAAATAATGATTCGTTTTTTCAGTTTTCGATTTTGTGTTCAAAGGGTAATGGAAAAAATGGGCGTTTCCGGATTTAAACTGCGACGTCGGAGTTCTGCGCCACATACGGACTGAACCAGGACTGAACCAGGACTGAACCAGGACTGAACCAGGACTGAACCAGGACTGAAGCAGGACTGAAGCAGGACTGAGGCAGGACTGAGCCAGGACTGAGCCAGGACTGAGCCAGGACTGAAGCAGGTCTAAACCAGGACTGAACAAGGAGTGTCCAGATGTCCCCGCAGGTGCAGCCGCATAGACCGTAGATCAGGACAAAGACTGGGACCAGACCAGTACCAGACTAGGACTGAGACCGGGACTGAGACTGGGGCTTAAACCGGGACTAAACCCGATCTAAACCAGAATTGAGCCAGGGCTAAACCAGATCCTTGTGTCGGTTCCAGTCAGGTCCCGATCCGGTCCTAGTCTGGTCCCGATATCAGGCCCCGGTCTCAGTCCCGGTCTCAGTCCCGGTCTCAGTCCCGGTCTCAGTCCCGGTCTCAGTCCCGGTCTCAGTCCCGGTCTCAGTCCCGGTCTCGTAAATGGGAAACGGTCTTTATCAGTTTTTTCTATTTTTCATTTAAACACAAAATCAAAAACTTTTTCTTTTTGGTTTTGGAGACAAATAATGAAGAAAATAGTTGTTTCTTTCTTCATTTTCTTATTTTTGGTTTTATTTTTGAAAAACGAATGAACACATGACAAACCGATCCAATATTCTCCATGCCGCGGTGTTGTTGTCTGAACGGCGTCTCTCGGCACATTTCTACACACGTTTGTAAATAGAAGTGAGTCTTATGCTCCTATTGCTTTTCACACGGCTCCTCCTTCCTGTTTTTGCTTTTTCTGCACTTCGTAAAAAGCGCCGTCGCCTCAAACCTCGTCTCGTTTTCATCTGAGGAACATTTGCATAACAGATTCTTAAGCACACGTTCTGCAAAGACAAAAATATAGTGTCGCTGCAAAACTGACCCACGTCTGATTGTAGTAAAGTTTTAATAATACCTCACGTTTCCTACAGTTTTAGATGCGTAGATTTTTAGGACGCCTTTGTTTTCACCAAGCAGTAGGGTTCGGTTTGGTCCAAAATCAACCAAGGAGTTTCTCTTGGTTTAAACAAGAACAAAGTATTCTGAATGTGAATCTTTAAACTCGTGCAGGTTTCCCCATTTTCTGTGAATGGGTTTTGGTTTAGCCTCATTTTGAGATAACCTGAAAATGTCCCACAGTGAAGCATTTTGAATCCTTGACAACTGTAGGTGGGTGAGGTCCAGGTCCAGGAAGGTAAACATTCAATCTTGGTGTATTTTTGGGGCAGATAAGTTACATTTGGGTCAGACCGTACAAAATCCGAAGTTTTCAAGGAATCTCCCCTGTGAGCCATCTCAGATTTGGCTAAAAAAAAAAAAAAAATCAAAACAATTTCTAAAATTACCAAATGAAAGAATCTTCAGTCATTCCTGAGTTATGGCCAGTTGAGTATGAAATTTTGGGGCCATGCTTTCTTTTTCGGAAAGCTTAATTTATAATCATGTTTGAGAGACCATAACTTCATAAAAAATAGAGCTGGGAAGATAAAAATGTGTATTATTTTAGATTCTTGGTCATAGATTCTGAATCAGTTGTCAAATATTGTGTGACTTTATTAAGGGAGGCGCTGTGGGGCCCCAAAATCTCACATTTGGTTGCCGCTCAATTTTTTAAAAACATTTTTAAGGTCCAAGATCTATTTACTACAAGCAGATATTTACAAACTAACTGTTTAACCTGAATATTTGAGACAATGACCATTTCTGACACAAATCTTACACTTTTCTGAGCTTTCATGTTGGTCAAATTTTTACCAGAGAAACTTTGGCATATTCTGGTTAGTTTAAAGTAATAAAAACATCTACTATTAACTTCCTTCATTTCAAACTGCATTTTTGAAAATGAGCTCTCAGGGGTAATTTTTGGTGGAGTTCAGGGACTTTTCCACCTGGAGAAAGGTTCAATTACCTTTTATAGACTTAAACACTAACTGCTTGTTATAAGGGAAGACAATAGACACATCAAGAATCTCAGACTTCCGGTCATTGCGCAATTCATACTGGGAAGGATTTTCCAAAAAAAGTGATCATCAAACCTCCATGTTTGTTTTCCCAGTGGGATGTGCCTATTGACAAAGTCGATCTTTTCAAGTCTTTTGAACCATATCACTTTTGTTTCTGGTTCTGATATTGTCATATTTTAGTTTTGGGATTCGGACGTCGTATTTGTGTGGTTGTTGGATCCTAACAGTGGAAAACGGCTCGAGAAATTTGTTTGCGAACTCCATAAATGCAAAAGTGAATCAGATGTGTGTGACTCAAACCTCCGTTCAAACTGTTTCTCTTCCCAACAGAATTGAAAAATAGTGAAAGGTGAAGGTGATGGGCAGGATTGATCCACGGGATAAACAAAAAAGGAAACATTTGTCTGACTAAATCATCCCGAGTTTACTGCGAACATTTTGTATGACATTTTGATTCCCTTTTGCATTTATGGAGTTTGCAAACAAATCTCTCGAGTCTTCTGCTGTTACGCAATTACGATGTCCAAATCCCAAAACTAAAATATGACAATATCAGAACCAGAAACAAAAGTGATATGGTTCAAAAGACTTGAAAAGATCGACTTTGTCAATAGACACATCCCACTGGGAAAACAAACATGGAGGTTTGATGTTCACTTTTTCAGAAAATCCTTCCCAGTGTGTACTGCCCAATGACCGGAAGTCTGAGATTCTTGATGCGTCTATTGGAATCTATGACCCAAAATCTACAGTAATACACGTTTTTATCTTCCCAGCTCTATTTTTTATGAAGTTATGGTCTCTCAAACATGATTATAAATTAAGGTTTCTGAAAAAGTGAGCATGGACTCAGGAACGACTCAAGGGATTGAGCTAAAATTTTAGATTCTTTCATTTCAGATTTTTTTTTCAGCCAAATCTGAGATGGCTCATAGAGGAGGGGTGATTCATTTCATACGGACTGACCCATTTGCTCATGTAAGTTCTCTTAATTGAGTCAAATGTTTTAGTACATTTTATTTCACACTCTGTAACGATATAATAACTGATCATTTTAATTCATCTGTATAGTCGTACCTTTCTTGCTGTTATATCGAAACTAAAATAAAAGCTGACCTGACCCTGTCTGAACAGTTAGTTTACTCAGTACCTGAGTAGTTTTTTTCACAGCTTTTTACTCTTATTGAGTAAATATTTAGATGCCTACTTTTCACATTATGTTCAGACAGCAGTACCTTGAGTAACAGTTTGTTTTTCTCCATCCCTGGAAGTAGCACAGTTGGACATGAGACAGAAGAGCACTTTAAAACACTTTTAAAAGCGGGCGGTACCAAACCTCACCATACCACTTGGTAAAAAAAAAAAAAAAAAAAAAAAAAAAATACCATTTTGTATAGAATAAGAAGCAAACGTTTGGACTGATATCTGTGTAATCCCCGGTTGTGGTCTGGTGGGGTCCTTTGCATTAGGGTGGGGCTCTCTCCACAGTGCCGGTCCCAGGAGCAGACACACTAAGACTTGCCTGCGCTGGTCACAAACGGGACAGATCCGAACAGGTCTTCAGGTGGAAGGGCTTTGGGGACAGAGGAGGAGGAGGTCTGCGGCTGGAGCGGGGTCTCTGCGCTGGGACTGCGCTCCACGGGCTTCTCTGTGGACCAACACAAAAACAAGAGTTAAAACAGAATAATAGAAAAGGTTCATGGATAGAACTGTGAGTGAGGGACTGTTTTTGAAAGAAATTTACAAACTTGAGAGCTATAAATGTTGCATCTGTAGCAGTTTGTTATGGTTTGGCTTCTCACATTTGTCATATTAATAAAATGTGTGTCTTAAAGTTCTTTCAACACAGTCACCTCTTTTGGGCTTGAATAATGAATAATGGCACAACTTTCAGAAGCTAAAACACAAGCTTTTTTTTTGTTTTTAGGTTGGACTTGACTCCCGACTGATTACTCTGTATCCGTATTGTGCACTAGATCAAAACTCCTCCAAGGTACATACAAAATATTATAAAATTGCTCTTGTTTAGTCCTGGTTTAGTCCTGGTTTAGTCCTGGTTTAGTCCTGGTTTTCCTGGTTTAGACCTGGTTTAGACCTGGTTTAGTCCTGGTTTAGACCTGGTTTAGTCCTGGTTTAGTCCTGGTTTAGACCTGGTTTAGACCTGGTTTAGACCTGGTTTAGTCCTGGTTTAGTCCTGATTTAGTCCTGTTTAGACCTGGTTTAGCTGTTTAGTCCTGGTTTAGACCTGGTTTAGTCCTGTTTAGTCCTGTTTAGTCCTGGTTTAGACCTGGTTTAGACCTGGTTTAGTCCTGGTTTAGTCCTGATTTAGTCCTGATTTTCCTGTTTTAGTCCTGGTTTAGACCTGGTTTAGACCTGGTTTAGACCTGGTTTAGTCCTGGTTTAGTCCTGGTTTAGACCTGGTTTAGACCTGGTTTAGTCCTGGTTTAGTCTGGTTTAGTCCTGGTTTAGACCTGGTTTTAGACCTGGTTTAGTCCTGACTGGTTTAGACCTGGTTTAGACCTGGTTTAGACCTGGTTTAGTCCTGGTTTAGTCCTGATTTAGTCCTGGTTTAGTCCTGGTTTAACCTGGTTTTAGACCTGGTTTAGACCTGTTTAGACCTGGTTTAGTCCTGGTTTAGCTGGTTAGACTGGTTTAGACCTGGTTTAGACCTGGTTTAGACCTGGTTTAGTCCTGGTTTAGTCCTGATTTAGACCTGGTTTAGTCCTGGTTTAGTCCTGGTTTAGTCCTGATTTAGACCTGGTTTAGTTTTTCCTGTTTAGACCTGGTTTAGACCTGGTTTGTTTAGACCTGGTTTTACTACCTGGTTTAGTCCTGGTTTAGACCTGGTTTAGACCTGGTTTAGTCCTGGTTTAGTCCTGGTTTTATCCTGATTTAGTCCTGATTAGACCTGGTTTAGACCTGGTTTAGACCTGGTTTAGTCCTGGTTTAGTCCTGATTTAGACCTGGTTTAGTCCTGGTTTAGACCTGGTTTAGACCTGGTTTAGACCTGGTTTAGTCCTGATTTAGACCTGGTTTAGACCTGGTTTAGTCCTGGTTTAGTCCTGGTTTAGTCCTGATTTAGACCTGGTTTAGTCCTGGTTTAGACCTGGTTTAGACCTGGTTTAGACCTGGTTTAGTCCTGGTTTAGACCTGGTTTAGACCTGGTTTAGACCTGGTTTAGACCTGGTTTAGTCCTGGTTTAGTCCTGTTTAGACCTGGTTTAGTCCTGGTTTAGACCTGGTTTAGACCTGGTTTAGACCTGGTTTAGACCTGGTTTAGACCTGATTTAGTCCTGGTTTAGTAGGACCTGCATTGATGTAAATGAGCTGTGAATAGACGTGTGAATGATCCACATTTATGCAGATAATTATTTACGGCTAAAGGCTAATAGCGCTAGTTTCTTTACTATTTAGGAGTTATGTTTCGGTCGCGATCGAAGCGGCTCTTAGATCCGGCTCTTTGAAGCGAACAACGGGAGCATGTTTCTTATTGGGAGCCGTTTTTTCTCTTTTTCTCCCTTTTTCTCTTCAAGCCGCTTGTAGACCTGTAGTTTGACAGCAGCAGCGGCTGAAAACAAAACTTTCAGAAATCTGCGTTTGCATAGGTTAAAAAAAAAAAGTGCATATTTGTCTGCAGTTCAGCATAAAATGAATAAACCAGGACTAATCTTAGGCTGGAGTGAGATAGAGACCGAGTCCCGACACTCAGTCCTGGTTCAGTTCTGGTTTAGTCCTGCTTGCAACGAAACAATCTCAAGAGCCGTTTGGGAGCCGAAAGAGCCAGCTGCTTTAGTGAGCCGAGCCAAAAGAGTCGGTTCTCCAAAAAAAAACAAAAAACTGGAATACCCGTCACTAGTGTCTAGAACGTGATGCAAAAATGCCATTCGTCCGACCTACTGTCTGTAAATATGATGTAAAGAGGCAGAAGAACAATAAATGTTGCCTAAATAAACCCAATTTAAAATCCACTAGAGCCAAACCCAAGTTTTTTAAATAATTCAACATTTACAGTGAATTTTTACATCACTAAATATATCAGCGATTATATCGGCAGCTCCAACTTACATTATATCGGTTTCATATTGGCCACAACAAAATCCATATCGGTCGGGCTCTAGTCCTCATGTATTTAAACACCCCTGGGTTTGTTTTGTTCATGTTCGGGTTGATTTAAGTTTACTCCAGTTTGGTCCGGGTTTTTTTTTTTGTTAATGATTTACCTAATTTGAGCCTTTGTTAAATCACATCTTTTTTGACTTTCTTAAATTTAAACTGTTTGGGCCACTACATACAGACATGATCCCCTTCAATGTTTTTAGCTTTTGAGTCTTGTTCTTTAAAGTCCAAACCAGGTGCTGCTTTCCTAACAAAAAATCCCAAATTCCCCCATAAGTACGGAACTTTTCTACTGTACTTTGTTACTTTCCACCACTGTTATTAGAAGTCTATGTTTCCACAGTGAAGCGTATGATCTCTGGTAGGTTAATTTTAGTATTTGCAGATCGACACTTGCTTGCTCTGAGCAGGTCAAACTCTCGGTCGAGCAGCTCCTCCTCCGTGAGCTTGGAGAAGTTGTCCTCTCCGAAGGGGTTCCAGCGGGACATGTCCGGGGGGTGGCTCGCGGCGGGGGGGGCGTCTGAGGACAGCAGCGGGTTCCTGCTCGACACAAACGCACACCAGAGAAGTCGAGTCACTCTGCTGTGTGGGCTGTCGGGTTTAATCAGTGTGGTCCTGGTTTAGTCACGTCAGCTGGGCCTGGTTTAGTCCATCTGGTTTAACGGAGCTGTTTCACCACTTAAGTCCTGGTTTGGTCCAGGTTTAGTCCTTGCCTACCTCAACACATTTATCACCAATGAAAACCAACCAAGTATCTTAAATTTGAATAAAGATTTAGTCCTAGTTTAGTCCTGGTTTAGCCCAATTTAGTCCTGGTTTAGTCTTGGTTTAGGCCTGGTTTAGTCCTACTTTAGCCCTAATTTAGTCCTGATTAAGCCCTGGTTTAGCCCTGGTTTAGCCCTGGTTTAGTCCTGGTTTAGTCCTGGTTTAGTCCTGGTTTAGTCCTGGTTTAGTCCTGGTTTAGTCCTAGTTTAGCCTTAGTTTAGTCCTAGTTTAGCCCAAGTTTAGCCCTCAATTTAGTCCTGGTTTAGTTTTCATTTAGTCCTATTTTAGCCCTGGTTTAGTCCTGGTTTAGTCTTGGTTTAGTCCTGGTTTAGTCCTGGTTTAGTCCTGGTTTAGTCTTGGTTTAGTCTTGGTTTAGTCTTGGTTTAGTCCTGGATTAGCCCTGGTTTAGAACTGGTTTAGCCTTAGTTTAGTCCCAGTTTAGCCCTAGTTTAGTCCCCGTTTAGTCCCAGTTTAGTCTTGGTTTTACCTCGTATTGGCAAACGTCTCCGCAGGTGACGGTCCTCCTCCCATCTGCGCCGTCGCCGCGGGGCCAGCAGAGGGCGTGGTGGCGTTGTACGAGCCGAGGGGCATCTGGAACTCGAGCGGCGAGGGCGAGGACAGGTAGGGGGCGCTGTGGGGGCCTGCGTGTGGGTGGTGCACCTGCTGCTGCTGCTGCTGCTGCTGCTGCTGCACAAAAGCCTGCTGATACTGGTGCAGCTGTCGGATCAGAGGGAACAGGGGTGAAGGGATGAGGGACGGACCACAATGATTTCAATGATTTCGTGATTTCGAGGATTCTATGACTTCATGATTTTTTTTTTTTTTTTTTGTGATTTGATGAATGTGGTTAGATTTCACGGCTGGATTTGGAAAACCGGGGATATTAAGGAAGAAGGGGGGTGGGGGAGTGAAAGTTAAAAGCTCTCGTAGAATAAGAATAGATTATTTTATCAAACTTATTTTTAGTCAAACAAAAGCAAAAAACACAACAACTCTGACGTCTAATACAAAATGTGACACAGTGAATAACAATTTTATCTCAAAGTCAGAAGGTTTATCACAGTGAAATATCTTGGGCTACGTTCAGACTGCAGGGATTTTTTTGTAAAATCCGATGTTTTTTCGAGGTCGTTCACATTTCCAGTTAAATGTGACTTGTGTGTGACTCCAGTGTGAACATTAAACGGTCCAAAAGTGTCCCACATGTGACACTGGAGACACGACGACGTCAACCGCAGCGAGCGTCTCTGTGTTTACAGAAGTTGTCCAAACATGGACGCAGCATCGAGCACCTGGAGATTTTAAAGTTCCTCTCGTACCGGAGCCACAACATGAACAACTGACTTGTTTTAAGGAGGAGATTGAGAAGGAGAAGGACGAGGTTTTTGGTCGAGGTGTTTTGAAAGGAACGTGTGGATGTGGAGTCGCAGCCAAGAGTAGAGGGATTGTTTTGTGCTTCACTGCTTCACTGACACAGAGTTCTGACACAATTTTCGTCTGACTTGAAGAACATTTGTGTACATTTGTGCCGGATCTGTGTCGTTCAGACTGTCAGTAAAAGATCAGATACAGGAGCATAGGGGCGAAAAATCTGATTTGGGTCACTTCAGGCTGCAGTGTGAACACAGCCTTAGTCCTCTTCTTTATACAGTTTAAGGCTCCGTCCACACTAGTTCGTATTCGAGTCGGTTTGGTTGTGGGTGCAGTGTTCGTTCACACTAATCCAATTTAAAACGGCTCCAGAGACGGAATAATCTGGTGCCTCCAGCTCCCACGAATTCATCTGAGTACAGATCTGATGAAAATGCTGATACACTGATGCAGGTCTATGCCTGGTCCTGGTCCGGTCCCGGTCTCAATCTTGATCACCCAAAAGTCTAAGCAGGTGCAACTCCAGGCCTGCTCCAATATTCAGTACTGGTTTAGTCCTGTTTTAGTCCTGTTTCAGTCCTGGTTCAGTCCTGGTTCAGTCCTGGTTCAGTCAGTCCTGTTTTAGTCCTGGTTCAGTCCTGGTTCAGTCCTGGTTCAGTCCTGGTTCAGTCCTGGTTCAGTCCTGGTTCAGTCCTGGTTCAGTCCTGGTTCAGTCCTGGTTCAGTCCTGGTTCAGTCCTGGTTCAGTCCTGGTTCAGTCCTGGTTCAGGTTCTGGTTCAGTCCTGTTTTAGTCCTGTTTTCAGTCCTGGTTCAGTCCAGGTTCAGTCCTGGTTCAGTCCTGGTTCAGTCCTGGTTCAGTCCTGGTTCAGTCCGGCATTGCAGTTTAAGTCATTATCCATTTTTTTTCAATTTTTCATTTAAACACAAAATCAAAAACTGAAAAAAACGAATCGTATCTGTTTTTTTCATTTTGGTTTTGGAGACAAATAATGAATAAAATTGCTGTTTTTCCGTTTTCTTATTTTTGGTTTTATTTTGAAAATCGAATGAACGAACGATACACGGATTCTCAAAGCTCACATCCATGTTTAGGCTCGTGTGGGACACTTTTGGACCGTTTAAGCTTCACACTGGAGTCACATACAAGTCGCATTTAACTGGAAATGTGAACGACCTCGCAAAAACATCAGATTCCACAAAAAAAATCTGAATTGAGCGTTAAACCCTGCAGTCTGAACATCTCTTAAGTGAATGTGACGTCGTCTACGGTGTCTGGCTCCTGATTCTCTCTACTTGAAACGCATCACTTGGTCTGTTGTTGATCATCTAAGCGACGCTACAACGACAGCTCCACATTGATCGTGTTCAAACCCGGGGTCCCTGAAGACTCCCGAGCGCGCGGCCCCGTCTCCGTCTCCGTCTCCGCGCCGCAGTCTGGAGGGACCGAGCGCGCTTTCGTTTGCCCTCACCCCGCGTTCCGTCCCTCTCCGACCAGATTGCCTTCCACACAAAAACAGATGGTGGGTTTCAGAGGGAACGGGCACGTCTCGCTGGGAGCGCGCCGTTTTCGCTCGCTTTTAAATGCCGCAAATACGAGTTCGGGGGGGGAGATTTTGGAGGAGGCGGCGCGTGTAGGAAGTTTCAGCGTCTGTTTCTGTGGCGGTTTTGGCACGGCACGGGGGATCGTTTTTGACTGAGGGACGGGACTCTGCCAGTGTTTTTGAAGAGAGCACATTGAAGTAAAATTTAGTAACAAGCGCTTGTAACTTCACGCTGCGTCGCCATGTGCTTCTCTGTCATTTGCTAATTATTTTGGATTCATTCTTCAAATAGGAAAACGCTGCCTGGATCACGTTTGTAACTGAGCCATACATTTCTGCACACTGTCATGAAGCATTACTAGTATAAAAGATCAGTTTAAAGTTTGGACACGCCTTTTCTGTTTAGTTTTTTTCTTTTTTCATGACATTTACTAGGGCTGGTATCATTAAGAAGTTGCCAATACGATAAATATCTCGATACACTTTTGATTCAATACGATACATTTCAAATCGATTCACTAAGGTTCAATAAAAAATAAAGTCTAAATCATGTCTGTGACACTAAAAGTCTTTGTTAAACCATTTCTTGTGCAAAGTTCATATGAAACACAAACATTTTAATCATCTAAACAGTGAAAATGTCAAATGTGTCAACAAAACTGTAGCTGTAACAAAATAATTTAGTAAAATAAACCAAAAAAAGTACTCCTGGTGATACGTCGATACATCAGCCCGCAATATCGATACTGTATCATCTCATTAAATGATATGATATATCAATATTTGAATATTTTTGATTTTTGCACACTCCTAGAGACTAGTATGTTGTGTGCTCTCCCCAAGAAAAGTTACACAGTGCAGCTTAATCTGTGTGTCGTTCGTTCATTCGTTTTTCAAAGTAAAAGCAGTAAAAGCGGTCTGGTCCCATTCTCAGTCCTGGTCTGGTCCCAGTTTCAATCACGGTCTGGTCTTGGTCTGGTCCCAGCCTCAGTCCCGGTCCTGTTCCAGGTCCTGTTCCCGGTCTGGTCCGGTTTCAGGCCCGGCTTCAGGTCCGGACCTGTTTTAGTCCTGTTTTAGTCCCGTTTCAGTCCTGTTTCAGTCCTGTTTCAGTTCTGGTTCAGTCCTGGTTCAGTCCTGGTTCAGTCCTGCATTGTTTTAAGTCACAGAAACAAGAAACGGCCGTTCTCCGTTTTTTTTGCTTTTTCATTTAAACACAAAATCAAAACGAAACGAATCATTATCAGTTTTTTCATTTTGGTTTTGGAGACAAATAAAGAAGAAAATAGTCGTTTTCTGTTTTCTTATTTTTGGTTTTATATTGAAAAACAAATGATACGAATGATACACGGATTCAGCTTTAAGTTTAACGCTCAGTATCTCAGAGCTACAGAACACAGACACACACTTGATCCTGTACCGTATATAAACTCTATATCATACTCTACAGTATAATGTGTAGGAGGGTCTCACCATGGCGGCGTACTGGGCCTGGGCCACCTGCTGCTGGTACAGAGCCGGCTGCATCATCATCTGCTGCTGGAGTAACATCTGCTGCTGCAGGGCCTGGTGGTACTGAGCACAGAGGGTCAGCGGTTAGACGAACATCACACAGAACACACCGTCACATTTTAGTTTAAGTGCTGAAAATATTATGGAACTGTGAGCTCGTACTTCGAAATGTAGTGTTTTATTGCAGGCGGCACACAAACAAATCAGAGGAACTGCGGAGCCCATGATCCTTTGCTCTTCTTCAGCGCGGCCGAAGCTTTGGAATTTGGAAAGTCCCAACCCTTTCCAGCTCTGTTCCGGAAGTTCACTTTTCATTTTTCCCACGGACTTTTGGAAAAATTCAAAGGTTTAAAGGCACAACCAGCAAACCGGATCTGTGTGGTGAAAAATGTCCCTAATGCTGCTTTTTCAATCCAACAAAAACTCATTTGAAACTAAAAATTCAGCTAAATGTTTTAATAACTTCCTTTAATAAATTTCAAATCAAATTCTAGGCCTTGGGGTTATTAGTTACCAAATATCTGATTAGCCCAGAGTGATGTTATTGCGATATTTTGTGGAGGCTGCGAACAAAACTGCTATTATGGTAATCCAAAAAACTTAAAAGTGCTGAGAACTGTTATGTCTTCTTGTAGTGAAATGGGGCAAAGGATCATGGTCTATGTAGTTCCCTCTGTCTTTTTTTTTAGCTATTGCTGCACCATAACTCTTAACATTAACATTAAACAATACGATATATCGATATTTTGATATTTTTGCACACTCCTAGTAGGGTTGGGCTGTATCTACACTTTGATACCGTTAAACCTTCTCAGTATTTTAACACGGTATACAGTATTACTGTATTACCACAGAGTTTTAGTACAACTTTGGTAAAATATAAAGCCGCACCGCTGTACGGTCTGTGTGTACGACCTGCAGACTTATAATCTCTGAAAAGTTTCACATGAACCATCTCCAACACGACAGAAACACAGAACAGACTCACCATCAGCAGAACACCCCTCTGTCACCAGTGTTGGGAAGTTTACTTTTAAAACGTATTCCCCTACAGATTACAGATTACACTCACCAAAACGTAGTTTGTAACATAATCCATTAAATTACTTAAAGTGAGTAATGTAATCTGAATACTTTGGATTACTTGATTTACTGTAGAGAAGCAAAGACGAGGAAATCTTAAAGTAAGATGTTTTGTCTGCTAAAAGAAAATAAAAAGTCCAGACTTTACTGAACCAAATTAAAAATATTAAATCCTTAACTTAAATCCTGTTTTAGTCCCATTTTAGTCCTATTTTAGTCCTGGTTTTAGACCTGGTTTAGACCTATTTTAGTCCCGGTTTTAGTCCTGGTTTTAGACCTGGTTTTAGTCCTGGTTTAGTCCTGGTTTTAGACCTGGTTTAGTCCTATTTTAGTCCTGGTTTTAGACCTGGTTTTAGACCTGGTTTTAGTCCTGGTTTTAGACCTGGTTTTAGTTTTAGTCCTGGTGGTTTTAGTCCTGGTTTTAGTCCTGGTTTTAGACCTGGTTTTAGACCTGGTTTTAGTCCTGGTTTTAGTCCTGGTTTTAGTCCTGGTTTTAGACCTGGTTTTAGTTTTAGACCTGGTTTTTAGACCTGGTTTTAGACCTGGTTTAGACCTATTTTAGTCCCGGTTTTAGTCCTGGTTTTAGACCTGGTTTTAGACCTGGTTTTAGACCTTTTTAGACCTGGTTTTAGACCTGGTTTTAGACCTGGTTTTAGACCTATTTTAGACCTGGTTTTAGACCTGGTTTTAGACCTGGTTTTAGTCCTGGTTTTAGAGTTTTAGACCTGGTTTTAGACCTGGTTTTAGACCTGGTTTTAGTCCTGGTTTTAGACCTGGTTTAGTGTCCAGCAATGGACAAGCCCAAAATGTGAAAACAGGAAAATCCCGCCATGTAATCCATTTATTTCAACAAAGTAACTGTAATCTAATTACCACTCACTGAAACAGTAACTGAATACAGTTACTCATAATTTGTACTCTGATTATATAACTCTGGTACATGTAATCTGTTACTCCCCAACACTGTTAATGTCACACTGTGGAACATTCGAAACAGTGGAATGACATCTCCATAGAAACGAGCAGGTGCCAGATCCCTAATCGGAAAGTTCCACAGTGCAGCAGCGTCCCGTTCTGACCTGTAGATACTGTAGTTGCTGCGCGTTGGGCTGCTGTAGGTGCTGAGGCTGGTGTGGGTGGGGCTGTTGTGGCTGTGGGTGCTGCTGTGGCGGTGGGTGGGGTTGTTGCGGTTGTGGGTGAGGTACGGTCTGGTGCTGCTGGAGCTGCTGGAGCCTCAGGTCTCCGGGCTGAAGCTGCTGCAGGACTCGGTGCTGTTGGCTGTTGTTGCTCTGAGGGGCCAGAGGGGGCGCTGTGGAGCCGGGGGTCGGAGCTGCACGGACACAAAATACACAAAATAGAAAATTTAAATTAGAAAAATGTTTAACGACAATTGAACAATGATAAGATTATACGTTTAAAAGGGCCCATGTTACGCTATTTCCAGATCGTTTCCTCATCACAAACACACCTGGAGTTGTGTTCTGTTTCATTCACACACGTTTAAACACATAAATCCTGCATATTTAGCTTTTCTCAAACTGAAAACAGTTCCACCTTGTGATGTCATGTGATGTCATACAGGAAGTGCTGTGTTTTTAAACTCCACACATCTTCACTTAAAAACAGTTGGATAATTTCAGCTCTGAAATCTCTAAGTTCTACTGAACTAAAGGTAAAATGTAAAAACTACCACTTCATGACATCACAAAGTGGAACAGAGTATTTTGAGCTTTGTAGACAAACTAATAAATTGTTACTCAAACATGTGTGAATGAAACAAAACAACTCCAGATAAATATAGAAAAATCTCCTCAAGGGACCATCTGTAAATAAATAAAATAAGTCTTTTCAAGGTATGATTCAGCGTACCGTATTTTTTGGACTATAAGTGTCACTTTTTTTCATGGTTTGTGTGTTTCCTGTGACTTCTATATTAAAATGTTTTTGGTGAAGTGTGGAGAGGTTCTAGTCTTGTGTGTGAGGATCTGCTGCTCCTGTTCCTCCTGCACCACTGTCACTTGGCTCTACTGCACATGTCTCCTGCAGAAAGAGCCTCTGTTCTGACTTCCGGTTTAGCGACTGATGGAGTAGGACGCGTGACTCAGGGGGCTCCCGCAAAATCGATTAAAAGTATATCAGGGCATCATTGCTGATACTGAGGCAAGACATTTTGGAACATTAAGCTGTTTTTTCACATCACCGGCCACCGACATGCCTCCAAAACCTAAGAATACAAGTAGCTCCACGACGGCACAAATACGGCCCTCTGCCGCGGCAGAGTCCCCAGTTTTGAGAGACACTGCTTCAGCCCCTCAGACTCCTCCGGACGCGGCGGCTCCAGCTTCGGTGATGAGTTCTGCAGACTTTAAGACTGAATTGCTCGCTAGCCTCCGGAACGAGGTGGTAAGCATCTTTAGAGCCGAGCTGGCGACAGCTATGTCCGATAATTTGTCTAAAATAAAGTTGGAGTTGCAAGATGTTAAAACTGAGCTAAATGGTAGCATTGTGGCTGTGAAGGCGGAGGTGGGCGATTTAAGGGCGACTGTCCGTGATATGGAGGACTCGCTGACAACCTGCACAGATGACGTGGTCTCACTCCAAACTAGAGTCGAAAAGCTATCAGCCCAAGTTATCTCTCTTGAGAACAAATGCGACGATTTGGAGGCGAGATCCCGCCGCAATAACATTAGGATTTTGGGCTTACCTGAGGAAAATGGCCCCGTCACTACGGCGTCTGTCTCCGCCCTGTTGAAGGAAGCATTCGGCCTGGATGAACTACCGCTTGTGGATCGCGCGCACAGGTCTCCACAGTCTAAGTCCGGCGGGCGTCCCCGTCCCATCGTGGCTCGTTTACATTATTACTCAGACTGTGCTGACGTTCTGCGGCGTGCGAGAGCTCAGCAGCGGATCAAGATTAAGGATGCGACAATATCTGTTTTTCCGGACTTTACTACGCGCACGTCCAAAGCTCGCGCCGCCTTCAACGATGTTCGACGCCAACTCAAGGATATACCTGATGTGCGATTTGGTATAGTATAGTATATCCAGCTCGTCTCCGGGTCACAAGTAAGGGTGTCACAAGGGAGTTTACATCGCCAGGAGAGGCAAACGTCTTTATGAAAACACTTAAGTAGACCTGTTTTGTGACCATATAAATGTCCCATCAAAGATGGTAATGATAGTGATGCTAAATGTTGTGTTTTATCAATAGTGGTATTATTATTATTATAGTTTATATTTTGCCACAGGTGCTAATGTTCTATGATGTGGTTATACACTTGTTATTGTGCTACTATACACATTGAAAATGTTATTTATGTCTTTTTTTCCATGCATATATTTGCCCTGTCATTCAAGTCTTTATTTTACTAATGCTGTGCGGGTGCTCCCTCTGAGTTTGGAGCAATGTCAAGATAACTATCAGGTCCAAAGCCCTGAGTTTTTCCTTTAGGTTTTTCGACTCCTTGTGGAGTCTGCACTGGTATCCTATCGTTTGGGGATGGGGTAAGTGCAATGGGGGGAGGTTGTGGGTTTGGGGGAAATTGGTTCGAGTTCAGAATAGTCTGTTTTGTCTTTTTTTTTATTGTATTATATTTATTTTATTTTTTTTATGTTTTTTTTTATTCCTGGGGCTGGTGGTTGGAAATTTGATTTTCCTTTTTACTCTGATATTTGACAGATATGACCAACATAATAGGCTCAAATGTTAGATTTATTAGCTGGAATATTAAGGGTTTGGGGAGTGCTGTTAAGAGATCTAAGGTGTTCTCCCATTTAAAACGCTTAAAACCTGACATTGTCTTCCTACAGGAGACCCACATGAGAACCAATGATCAGGTCAGACTGAGATGTCCTTGGGTTGCTGATGTGTTCCATTCTAGCTTTAATTCTCGGGCCAGAGGGGTTGCCATTCTGATTGGTAAATCGGTTCCATTTACACTGACCAGGACCATTTCTGACAGGGATGGCAGATATTTGATTGTCTCAGGCACTATATTTCACACTCCTGTCCTACTAGTTAATGTTTATGCGCCAAATTTTGATAATCCAGGATTCATGAATAAATTGTTTGAAAATCTGCCTTCACTCAATGACCACTTTTTGATTTTTGGTGGGGACTTAAATTGTGGTAACTGCAATTTAGATGTGGATTGTTCAAGGTAAAGCTTTAACATCTCCGTGGAGACAAGAAGGTGGTGTACAATCCAGAAAAGTTACATGGTGCACTTTAAAAATAGAGCTTGTCCTCGTTAAAATATAATTGTTTCCATCTTATAAAATTGGTTTTATATTCACAAAATCGCAAACCACTGAGTTAAAGGTTCTTTTTTTTCTCCATGGAGATGTTACTGTTTTGCCTGGAATGTTTCACAGTATGGCATTAAACCTTTCTGTCCAAACTAGACAAGAAGTTACAGTTCAGATCTGTGAAGAGGCGACCCCCGCTCACAGTCAGAATGCCGAGTTTCATGTTTTTTCTACGGTATTTTTGAGCTATAAATCAACCCGTAATTGAATAAATGTAAAGTAGAGCTGTTTAAAGTCACACTGTGGAACATTCTAAGCAGAGCAATGACGTGTCAGCAGAGAAAAGCGACGGACGCTCCGCCGGAAAAGTTACGCAGTGCACTTCTAAAGTGCGTCGTGTCTGTTGTGAGGAGCACCTTTGTGTCCGTTCCCGTTGGCGGCGGAGGGCACGCTCATCTTGACCGGAGTGACCGTGTTGCTGAGAGGAAGCACGTTACTGTTGGCGGCTTTGGGACGCTGTCTGGGAGCGATGGACGTCTCTGTGGGACCCACCGAGTCTGTGATCCTGAAAGACAAACAGACAAACATTTATTTAAAAAGGGCCCATCTTGATCTAGTTTCTGATCTGTGTTCAAACGGACCTGGCGTTGTGTTTTGTTTCATTCGCACGTTGAACACACAAACCCTGCACATTTACACTCTTCTCTCAAATGGTAAAAGGAAACTCAACTAAAAACTACAGCTTCATGAAGACAGGAGACGTAGACAGACTAATAAATAAAGAGTTCCTCAAACATGTGTGAATGAAATAAAACACAACTCCAGGTTTGTTTTTGAGGAAGTAACAACTTTATAACATGACTTAAAGTTCACAAGAGTCAGTTTCTGTGTAATGTAAGAACTTAAAATTTGGTGGAGAAAATATATGTTGTTGTTTTTTTTGTTGTGGTTATTAATCTTTTGTTTACGCAGGTTGGCCTCTTGATACTCAAGAGCTCCAGGACTAAAACCAGGTCTAAAACCAGGTCTAAAACAGGACTAAAACAGGTCCGGGCCTGAAACCGGGCCTGAAGCCGGGCCTGAAGCCGGGCCTGAAGCCGGGCCTGAAGCCGGGACCAGACCGTGATTGAAACCAGACCAGACCGGGAACAGGACCGGGAACAGGTCTAATCTAGGACTAAACCAGCACTAAACCAGGACTAAAGCAGGCCTAAAACCAGGTCTAAAACCAGGTCTAAACTAGGACTAAACCAGCACTAAACCAGGACTAAACCAGGCCTAAAACCAGGTCTAAACTAGGACTAAACCAGGACTAAACCAGGATTAACCCAGGTCTAAAACCAGGTCTAAAACAGGATTTAACAGGACTAAACCAGGACTAAAACAGAAGTAAAACAGGACTAAAACACGATTTAACAGGACTAAATCATGCCGCACAGACCATGTCTCCTCGTCTTCTATCAATAATATTTTTAATTTGGTTCAGTAAAGTCTTTTCATTTTCTTTTATCAGACAAAACTTCTTATGTGAAGATTTCCTCGTCTTTGTTTCTCTACAACAAATCAAGTAATCCAAAGTATTCAGATTACATTACTCATTTTAATTTAATGGATTCTGTTACAAACTACATTTTGGTGTATGTAATCTGTAATCTGTGGGGGATTACATTTTAAAAGTCACCTTCCCAACACTGCCAATAGGAGGAGAGGGTGGGAGGAAGTGTGTGTTTGATTGTAAATACTCGACGCAGCAGTGAGGAGTGTGTAAACAAGTTTCTTTTCATAGAGCAGTTCATGTCAATGGCCACCAGATGGAGCTGTTGTTTAACTAATCTCTACAAAATCACTACAAAAGGAAGTGAAACATTTTTGCACAACCTGGTTTTTAATCAGAAAATTAAAACTGCCCACACAAGCTCTTTAATTGTCTTTTTAAAGCTACTTAAAGGGTTTATATTATTCTATTTTCTGATCTATGTTATAATGTCGTCCCCCCCCTTTTTTTTGTATTATAATTTTTTTGGTATTATTATCATTATTATTTACATATTTATTGTATTTATTATTATTTACATATTATTTTATTTATTTATTATTATTATTATTTACATATTTATTTTATTTATATTATTATTTACATATTTTTATTTATTTATATTATTATTAACATATTTATTTTATTTTTATTATTATTATTATTTACATATTTATTTTATTTATTATTATTATTATTATTATTATTATTATTTATTTAATTTAATTTTTTTTTTGTATGTGTGGTTAGTTAAGTCTGTCTTATTGTGGATGTGCTGGGTATCCAATCCCTTAAATTTGACAAATTATAAATAAAATAAAATAAAATAATGTCGTTTCCTCGTCACAAACAGACCTGGAGTTGTTTTCTTTCATTCACATGTTTTAACACACAAAGCCTACAGATTTATTAGACCAAGTTCTTCTTTCAAACTGAAAACACCACCTTGTGATGTCATGAGGTAATACAGGGAGTGCTCCACTGTGTTTTTAAACTCCACACATCTTCACTAGAACCGTTTCGACGACTGCAGCCCCAGAATCGCCGATCTCTACCGAACTAAAAGTGAAACGTAACTTGAAAAGTAACACTACATGACATCACAAAGTCGAACAGAGCATTTTGAGCTTTGGAGATGTAGACGGACTAATAATAAAGAGTTATTCAAACATGTGTGAAGGAAACAAAACACAACTCCTGGTCTGTTTTTAAGACGGTAACAACATTCTAACTTGGCTTGAAGCTCACAAGAATCCATTTTATGTGATATAGAACCTTTAATAAGGGAATCAAAAAGAAAAAATAGGAATTTATGTCGAAACTGAAAAAACACTGATACACAATTGAATAAAAAAAATGGTGTATCAAAACGGGAACAAAAGAAGCGAGAGTGAAATCCAAACATGTGAATCTGACACACTGTACCTTGCTTTTGTCATGCTCTTCTTGGCGGCGACGTCACTGGCCGTTAGTGGCTCTGGTAAAGACGTGGGGATGGGAGAGTTCTGCGAAAGAGGAAAAAAAAAAACAACTTATTAATTGAACAGATGTTTAAAAGTCCTATATCACAAAAAAACTCGTGTGAGCTTTAAGACATGTTATAAAGTCGTTTCCTGATCAAAAACAAACCTGGAGTTGTGTTTTGTTTCATTCATGTTTGAGTAACTCTTTATTATTAATGTTTTCAGTTTAAGAGAACAACTAAAAACCTACAAGAGTGAACGTGTGAATTAGTGTTGGGCGGTAATACAGTGTCCTGCAGTATCAAAAAGTAACGGTATCAGTTTCATTACCATCATATTAAAAATCTGCAGCGCATAAGGACCTAATATAATATTATAATTTCATGATACGTAAATTTGTTTGCTCAGCACAAATGAATGTGTGGTTGTGTTTTCAATTTAATGCTTTAATCATGATTTAAAACCAAGAGTTTGTTTCTTTTGACTACGTGGGGAGATGACGTTCAATTAGTTTTGTTTCATTGTCACGTGATGCTCCTAAGGGAGACCAAGACAAGACGGCAAGTCCGGCCGCAAACCAGTTGGTCCCCCAAAAAAATACTAGTAATTCTACAATTTGGCAGCATTTTGGCTTCAGGTCGGGTAAATAAACCAACTGAGCGTACCCGTTGCGGTCTTAGGATACGCTGTAGCCTATAGTCTCCAACCTTTTTTCTCCAGTGTGCTACCTTTATGAAACAAAAATGCCAGACAGCTCCCGATTTCGTCAGTCGTAAAGAAACTGAATACATATAAAAGCCACGGCGAGCCTTAGATGGGAACAGTTACATGCTTAGAAAACATAAACCATTATCCATTTATCGGTGCACCAAGTTAGGCATCAAAATCACACGTTTACAGTGGTATTTAACAGGGATGTAACAATAACTTCTTAGGTTCTTTTTAAAGACAATGCAGTAAAGTGTATTTACCTTGTTGACATGTTTCGGCTGCTGCTGCAAGCCATCTTCAGATCTGTCCTGGTGTTGGTGGTGACGTGTCGTATATCAGCTGTTGTTACTTCCTGTGGCGTGGTCAGACCTGATGGACCTGCAGGTCGCTCAGACTGACCACGCCTCCCGTCGCCCGGTGTCTCTGGAGGAGGGTGTCCCAGGTGTGTGAAAGGAGAACGCTCCGTCATCACGGTTAATGCTCCGTGCCTCGTTTCCTGATTTCAGTGTCCTCCTTGATCCAGCATTTGAACTTGTTGTTTTCTGATCCAATGATCCGAGCCCCGTCCCGATCCATAATGTGGTTGTTCCTTTTACAGTGTCTGATATGGCGGATTTTAGATATTTTATCAGACACTGTAAAAGGAACAACCACATTATGGATTGGGACGGGGCTCGGGTCATTGGATCGGAAAACAACAAGTTCAAACTCTGGATCAAGGAGGACACTGAAATCAGGAAACGAGGCACGGAGCATTAACCGTGATGACGGCGCGTTCCTCCTTTCACACACCTGGGACACCCTCCTCCAGAGACACCGGGCGACGGGAGGCGTGGTCAGTCTGAGCGACCTGCCAGGTCCATCAGGCTGACCACGCCCACAGGAAGTAACAACAGCTGATATACGACACGTCACCACCAACACCGGTGACAGTTCTGAAGACGCAGCAGAAACATGTCAACAAGGTAAATACACTTTACTGCATTGTCTTTAAAAAGAACCTAAGAAGTTAAAGTATATAAGAAGACAAAATGAACATCATTGGCTTAATAGGGATGTAACAATAATCAAAATATCGTGATATTGTATAATCAAAGTTCTCACAATAATACCGTGGACCATCACAATATATCGAATTACAAGACTCTTTGCTTAAATGAAGAGTTATGAAGCAGCAATAGATAAAGACAGAACCGCAAAGACCATGATCCTTTGCTCCAGCTCTGTTTCGTTCTAGATGAGGAAACGACATCATAACACAGATCAGAAAATAGAGTAATACAGGACTTTTAGGTGACGAGGAATTGTAAAAGCGACTTACAAATAGGTTGGGGACCGGACAGTCTTTCCCGGCCAACTTGAAGGCAAAGTACGAGACTTGGTAAATGTCCGGTCTCTTCTCCTGGTCTGGCTCGAGCATGTATCCTGCAAAAAGGAGAGGAAAAGTTTGGTTTAGTATTCAACCATCTAGCTTTATGCATTATAATACGGCAGATAAAGACTGAAAGAAATGACGAAAAATTAGAAGTTTATCAAATTTTAACAGAGCTGATATCCTTTAATTGGATGTGATGTGACTATTTACTCTGACGTAGATTTGGACTGGGGGATAAAACTGTTACATAACACAAGTGGAACAATTTCGTAATAAGTCAACAGTGTTTTGAGCGGAAAAATTACCCATCAAATCCACTTTATTTCTGTAGAACATTTTATAAACAAAAACCGTTTCCAAAGAGCTGCACAGACCATAAAAACAACTGAGTAAAAACAAATAAATCAAACCGTAAAATAGACCCATAAGATTAAATTAATAAAATCAATAAAACAAAACAATAAAAGAAACACAGGACCACACAACTCACTCACGCCATGTTAAAAGCCAAAGAATAAACATGGGAGGGGCTGAGCGTTCCAGAGTTTGGGGCCGGCGACAGAAAAACCCGTGTCTCCGCGGTCTCGTTTTAGGATTTTTTGGGTCTTAAACGATTTTAAACATGAGACAAAAAGCGCACACCACAAACACGAGGAGGATCTGATGAGATGTTAAATCTCTGATCGCAAAGACTTCAGCGGGATCTGTCTACAGTAAAAACACTCGCTCTGAGACTTAAGTGTTCAAAGATCAGACTCTACTCTTCTAGTTTAGATACAAGTCAAAACTGTGTTGTTATTATTATTTGTGAAATGTGGTGCAAAACTTCAGATACAGGATTTTTAAAGCATAAAACACTGGAAGTAGAGTCAATGTAGAAAATCTGCAATTTCACCTCGATCCGTGCGCTGTGTGGATGTAAACAGACACACGTGAGGAACTACTCCCACCTTTTTACTTTTAAAGAATGACTCAAACTGGAATAACAACGCGGTTTTGTGGACTGGGGTCATTATTTGCGAAAGACACATTCTAAGGAACATATAGATGAGAGGCTCCAGTTTAAATCTTCAACTTTGAGAGGTGAGGAATAAAGTCGCCTCATTATTTTCGATGTTTTCTGAGTTTGTATCTTGTGCTTCTGTGTCCGTCACTTCCTCTGCCCCTGACGCTCTGTTTCCTTGGCTGTTGCTGTAGCGTTGCTGATGTTTAGTGGTTACAAGCCGACAGTCACACACACAAAAGGAGCACAGTGGCTTCGTAATCGCACACGAAAACACAAAGTCGGGTCACGCCTCCCTGAACTCTGGGAGAAGCAAATCACAGCCAAAACTGGGCAAATTCTCCTTTAATGTGTGGTAACCTTTAGGCACCAAGAGCTGGAGCTGATCCTCAAATCTCAGAGTGCGCAGGAGTAGTAAATTTTGATGACATTACATTTTTAATCCCTATACTGCCATTGGTTAATATCGGATATCAGCAGCAGATACTTCAAGTCAAAGTATCTGTGTCGGTGCTGGAACTGAAAAACCTGGATCAGTGCATCCGTAGTAAACAATATTAAGTAAAGTAAGAATTGAAACCAGGGTTCCCACTAGGGCTGGGTATCATTAAGAAGTTGCCGATCCAATACATACCTCGATACACAGGCCACGATACGATACATATCTCGATACAGTGCACTTTGGATTTGATATGATATATTTCAAACCGATTCGATACGGTTCAATAAAAAATAAAGACTAAATCATGGCTGTGATACTAAAAGTCTTTGTTAAACCACTTCTTGTGCAAAGTTCATATGAAACACAAACATTTTAATCGTCAAAACAGTGAAAATGTCAAATGTGTCGCATAAATGAGTTTCCTTTCACCCCACAAGCCACAAAACTGTAGCACTGTAACAAAATAATTTAGTAAAACACATCTAAAAATCCTCTTGGTGATATATCGATACTGTTTCATCACGTTAAACGATACGATATTCCAATATTTTTGCACACCCCTAGTTCCCACTCTTTTTCACTGACAAAATCTCAAAACTTTTCCATGACTTTTTTATGACCTAAAGCAGAGGTGTCAAACTCAAATTCACAGAGGCCAAAATTAAAAACTGGGACTAAGTCATGGGCCAAACTAAATATTTATTGAAAAATTTCAACAACATCTGCATGTTTTCTCTTCTTTCGAAATATGTAATGTTAAACCTTTTCTTACTCAAATAAATGTTTAATAATAGTTTTGCTTAAACATTGAATCCAGAACAAGCATCACAGAAAATAATAACGTTTTAAATAAATAATGTCTCTATAGCAGGGGTCTCCAACCACCAGCTCTTCACCTTTTAGTCCGGTTCCTTATATACTTTTGTGGGAATCCTAATGTAAGTCCATCAGAGCCAGAGTCAGAAGGAGCTGGAAGAGCCTCCTGGAGAACTTCCTATTTGGCACATGGCGGCTACAGTGTTAGATCTGTCCACTCATATATACAGTCTATGGTTGTATGAAAGTGATGATGATAATGATGATGTATAGAAAATGTCTCATAAAAAAGTTGTGTAATCATATTGTGTCTAAATGTGTGTGTTTACATCCAATATCCAAATTTTATGTTAGCTACTTTTAAACTCTTTGAGTTATCTGACCAGCTGCATGTGATGTTTATAATTTGTTTTACCCATATTGTTGAAGTATTTCAGCAGGATAATAAAAAAAAAAAGAAAAACATGTTTTTGGAGGAACATGGAGTATTACATGTGAATTTTACAGTGAAAATGCAAGAAAACAACCAAACTGGGTCATTTTTGACCCACTTATTCATCTAAGGGTTAATGTGGGTAGGTCTTACAGCTTTGTAACTAGCACCATTTGATTCCCTGACCCTGAAAATGTGGGTTTAGCAGTTAAAATCAACATTTCAACTTATTCAGAGGCTGAGATATTCCAAAAAGGGTTTTTTGGCGGCCATTTTATAAAAAAATCCAATATGGCCGCCATAAAGACATGTGGGCAAATGCAAACATTGATTTTCTGACTCCATAAACTATAACCTTTCCAAAAATATATAGGTTAGCAAATCCCCAAAAACTTCCCACTAAGGTCAAAAAATGACAATAAGGAACCGGACTACTTTTCCAAGCAGCTCTCCGAAGGATTTCTGAATCATATGTACTGTGCTAATAACTACAGTTTGATTAATTAAATTCCTATTGCCAATGGAAATTTATCATTTTCAACTTTGTGCACTAATAATTCTATTTTATTTTGACTTGCATATACATTTATATAATTATATCTTATTTGACATCTGTCTCTTGCTCTTTTTTGCTATTTATTTAGAATGTATTATTACCAGTTATATTTTTTACTCTTTGTTATTATATTATATTATATTTTGTTATATTCAGTGTTGGGAAGGTGACTTTTAAAATGTATTCCCCTGAAGATTACATACTCCAAAATGTAGTTTGTAACGTAATCCATTAAATTAAAGTTAGTAATGTAATCTGAATACTTTGGATTACTTGATATTGTCATGTTTTTTAAAACTACATGAATGTAACAACCACATCCTGAAAATTCATGTTTGTTTTCCTCAAATTGTCTGTTGAGCCCAAGTCTCCATGAACAGACTTTAGTTTTACTGTAGAGAAGCAAAGACGAAGATGTTTTATCTGCTAAAAGACACAAAAAGCCCAGTGTTTCCTTAACAATATTAATATTATTGACAGAGAAATGTTTTCCATATGAGACACTGCTGCTTTCAATTATGTCCACCTACTGTTAGTGTCATGTTGTTTACACCTGGTTTAGTCCTAATTTTAGTCCTAATTTTAGTCCTGGCTTTAGTCCTGGCTTTAGTCCTGGTTTTAGTCCTGGCTTTAGACCTCTTTTAGTCCTGGTTTTAGTCCTGGGTTTAGTCCTGGGTTTAGTCCTGGGTTTAGTCCTGGTTTTATTCCTGGTTTAGTCCTGGTTTTAGTCCTGGTTTTAGTCCCGATTTCAGTCCTAGTTCAGCCCAAAATGTAAAAACAGTAAAATCCCTCTGTGTAATCCATTTATTTCAACAAAGTAACTGTAATCCAATTCCCACTCACTGAAACAGTAACTGTAACCGAATACAGTTACTCATAATTTGTACTCTGATTACATAACTCCGGTACATGTAATCTGTTACTCCCCAACACTGGTTATATTATATTATATTTTGTTATATTATATTATATTATATTGTGATGTGTGAGCTTCTGTGTCCAAATAATTTCCCTTGTGGATCAATAAAGTTTGTCTAAGTCTAAGTCTAATAAATAGATAATGGTTTATGTTTTACAGGCATCTAACTGTGCCCATTTAAGACTTAACCTCTTTTTTTTTTTAACATCAATTCAATTTCTTGTGACTGCTAAAACTAGTCGCTCTCTGGCATTTTTGTTTTGTAAAAGTAGCTCACTGGAGGAAAACGTTTGGAGGCCCCTGCTCTTATAGTCTATCTGTAGCTCTAATATATATTTGATATGATCTCGTGGGCCAAATATAATTATATCGTGGGCCAAATTTAGTCCCCGGGCCTGAGTTTGACACGTGTGACCTAAAGTGAATTTTCCAATACTTTACGGCGCCTACATGTGTAAAAATGATCAGACTTTTAGGGCTAAATCTGAAATGTGAACTCTTTCCACTCATGTTTTGGGATTATAGTTTTTTAACATTCAAAATCCTGTCAGTGCATTTATTTATTGTCATCTCTTTTAAACAAAAGACGCAGACATTCAGAAATAATCATAATAGTCTAATGAGAACTTAAGAGAACACTGGAGTTGCGTGAAAAAGAAACAAAAATTCCATGACTTTTCCAGGATTTCCATGTCCCTGGGAACCCCGAGAAAAGAAAAGAAGCCCTAAATAAAACTAAAGGATTCAACATTAGGATTTCTGACACATCATGCAGCAATAATTAAAGGGATTAACGTGTTTTTACACACAGTTCACGTCAACGGCCACTAGATGGAGCCGTTGTTTCGTTAATCCCTCGCTCCAAAGGGAAGTGAAACGTGATGGAGCAAACAGACTAGTTTTAACGAGTCGGATGAAACTTCAAACTGCCCACACAAGCCGGACTTAGATCTGAAAAAGGCACAGCTGACAATGATGTAGCCTCCAAAGTGCTAAATATAACCTCTGAGGGAGTTTACGGACACCTACAGGAGCATAAAAAAGCGCTTTCCGTTTGTGGTTTTATTCATTTGTGTATTGTGTAGTTGTGTTTTTGTAGTTTTGCATGGTAACGCGTGTCGTACGTTCTAAAAACGCTCCAAGCCGTTTATTTTGACACTTCAGTTTTCATTCAAATGCTCGTTCAAAACCACAGCTACGTCCTGCCCCAGAGCTTCAAAGACACTCGAACGAAAGATTTTTAAAGGCTTCATAAAAACGATAAAGACAGAACTAGTTTTACGTTACTTTACGGCATGAAAAATATCGTGTATATCCGTGTTTCTCGTTAATTTTGCTCTATTACTATGTTGGTACCATTTCTTAAAACTATATTACAATTGTCACTCGTACTGTTTCAAAATATAACATTAAACAATGAAATAATAAACATGAAAACAAGACATAAAAACAAAATCTTCCCCCCAACACATCCACAATAATATAAACAAATAAATGAATAAATGATGTGACAGTGCAGCGTAACCACATTTCTAGGCACATTTTATTTATGTATTTTGGCCTATTTATAATTTTCTTTTCCTTTCTTTTTTCTCCTTTTTTCTTAATTAACACTATAACTGACTGCTTAACTAAAATTATTTTTACAGCTGTCTTTTTTTTACTTGTTATGAGCATATAATACAGTTTGTTTTTAGACTATGAGAGAGGATTTTAGACACTGGGTGCCACCACAGTCTGCTAAAAAAAAATCCCCAAAACAGGACACAAATTTTAGAGTGAAGCCATTTTACGCTGATCCAAAAAGTTTTTAAATTTGTGGTCCACTTGAACGAACAGCAAAACGTCTTCACTCTGAAACTTTTCTTTTGCTGTGGACGACTGAGATGACGCAGACCTCCCTCAGGTACAGTACTCAACTCTGTTACGCAAGTAAAAGTACACAGACAGGGCAAAAAGTTACTCAAGTAAAAGTAAAGTAAAAATCTACTAAAATAAAAATATTAAAGTATCTGTTTCAGACAGATTTAGATAAAGTGTTAATTTAAAGTTAAACATTAAATGTAGCAGTACTGATGTTAAAACGTACAGAGATTTTGATCAATAGAAGCAAAAAGAATAAATTCCTTCTTTTTTTCCCCTATGAATTTTGTTTATTTTAATTTTGTTTGCTGAAAGCTAAAGCTTGAATCAAAATGTAGTAAGAGTAAAAAGTACAAATACTCGCTTTAAAATGTAGTGCAGTAAAAGTAAAAAGCACCCACTGTAAAATGTATATGTGTAAAGTTAAGTACAGATACCTGAAAATCTACTTATGTGCAGTACTTAACTACTTTAACTTTGTTACTTTACAGTACCGGGTACAGTAGTAGAAGTAACCCGGGCGCAGTAGTAGAAGTAACACGGGTACAGTAGTAGAAGTAACCCAGGTACAGTAGTAGAAGTAACACGGGTACAGTAGTAGAAGTAACCCAGGTACAGTAGTAGAAGTAACACGGGTACAGTAGTAGAAGTAACCCAGGTACAGTAGTAGAAGTAACCCAGGTACAGTAGTAGAAGTAACCCGGTACAGTAGTAGAAGTAACCCGGGTACAGTAGTAGAAGTAACCCGGGTACAGTAGTAGAGTAGAGGAGTTTATCAGAGCAGGACTTACTGATGAGTCTGTGCAGTTTGGCCGAGTATTTGGAGTTATCAGGAATGATAAAGGTCCCATCACAAATGGCGACTTGACTCTCCCCAAAAGGAAGTGTGAAGAAACACAGCTTGTACAACAAGCATCCCAGCGCCTGAGGACACAACAGGAAAACACAAGTCACACACACGACGACGACGAGCAGAGGCACAACAGGCCTGTCAACAACTCAGCTTAATCATAAATAATAAATAATAACACTCAGAGACTCTTTACAGAACACACAATAAAACAGTCAAAAGAGAAAGAAGTAAGTAATACAGTAAAGATAAAAACAGTGAATGGTACAGAGAAAAGTTAAACATTAAAAGCTTTTCTAAACAGATGCGTCTTCAGAGTTTATTTTGAATTGTGACATGTTTCTGAAGAAAATATAGATACTGAAGCTAATTTACTCCACTGACACAACCCTAAAACAGGACTGTCCTCAAAACAACTGATCTAAATGTACAAAACTGAGACGCAATAAATATCTGAACGAACAGTAGTTAGTAGTACCAGATCATTTGTATCTGTAATAAGTCAGACAAGTAACAATAATAACTAAGATAATATAACAGAAACTAAAACCAGTGCTGAAACTAGTTCCTTATTTGAGTATCAATATTGAAAATAATTTTCAGCAGTACTGTCTTGTGATGTAACGATACGATACCAGGATCTAATATCAATGCAGATATTGAAAATATCAGTGGATGGGAAAATGGCTTCCAAGATATTGGTTCATCTGATTTCATATTTCGGTTTATAAACCCAATGGAATAAGACGATTTATTAGGCAAAATACTGGCCCAAAATCTCTCATAATATTAATGTTGTATTTTTACAAAACTGTTATAAAACACATTTGTATCATTTATTTATTTACCTTATGTTACTGCTACTACTACTAGTACTGCTGCTACTACTACTGCTGCTAGTACTACTACTACTACTGCCAATACTGCTACTACTGCTGCTACTACTGCTGTTACTACTGCTGTTACTACTGCTACTACTCCTACTCCTGCTACTGTTGTTACTGCTGCTACTACTACTACTGCTGTTGCTACTGCTACTACTGGTACTAATACACTTTAAAGTAGTCCTTGTAGTACAATAAGAGCACATGAACTGCAGTATTGTCCCAGTGAAAGCGTCTCATATTATCACTGTGAGCATGTGTGTGATGTCTGGGGATCAGGGCGCTCCCCACCCAAATATGACATCTGTGTGTGTGTGTGTGTGTGTATATTTAATGTGTGCATGTGTGTGTTGTATGTGTAGTGTGTAGTGCGTAGTGCGTGTGTAGTGAGTTCTATTCCCGGCTCTCTCTGTGTTCTGTTCTTCTGCTCTGACGCGGCAGTAAAACAAAGATTAAAGGGACGGGGGAATTAGCCGTAGCGTTTTAGGGCGCGCCGCTTAAAGGGGAGACACAAGACCGTAAACGCGCGGATCTCTCCCTGAACCCGATTCAACGACGCGAGGGAGAGCGGGGCGCCGCGAGGAGGAGACACGAGGGAGAGCGGAGCGCCGCGAGGAGGAGACACGAGGAGACTGGAGGAGACTGGAGAAAAAGGGCGCGTCGTGTCTGTGATGACACAGAAGCCAGATCACCAAATGCTACTACTACAACTGTTACTACTACTACAACACCTGTTACTACTAGTAGTAGGTGGTTTTCATTCCGCACTCTTCTCTCTTATTTATGTAATTAATGTCTCTCTCCGTTTTTAATTTTTTAATTTTAATCTTTCTTTTTATGATGATTTATGTTTTGATTTGTTTTTATTGTGATTTTAAAGTTTTTCTTATTCTGTAAAGCACTTTGAATTACTTTGTGTACGAATTGTGCTGTACAAATAAACTTGCCTCGCTACTACTACTACTGTTACTATTACTACTGCTACTACTGTTACTATTACTACTGCTACTACTGTTACTATTACTACTGCTACTACTGTTACTATTACTACTGCTACTACTGTTACTATTACTACTGCTACTACTGTTACTGTTACTACTACTACTGCTACTAATCCTGTTACTTGTACTACTACTACTACAAGTGCGACTACTACAACAGCTATGACTACTACCTCTGCTACAAGTGCGACAACTACTACTACTACTGTTACTACTACTACAACTGATACTATTCCTACAACTACTAGTACTACTACAACAACTGCTGCAACAACTACTACTGTTACTACTGTTAATAATACTATTAACAACTACACATTGTTACTTAGTTCTGCTGCTGCAAATACTGTAACTACTGCAGTTACTAATATTTCTACTACTACAACAACTATATACTGTTACTACTACCACTGCTGCTCCTCCAAATACTGCTACAAATGTTAATACTAATGCTGCAACAACAACTATGTACGGTTACTTCTGTTGCTACAAATACTTCTGCTATAGCTAAAAAATCCATAGAAAAACAACATTCTGACTGTGAGCGGGGTCGCCTCTCCACAGATCTGACCTGTAACTTGGTCTGGTTTGGTCTCCACGAAGATAGACAGGTTTAATACTGTAATGTGTGCACTCAGCAACCATGGAAATACTTGTTCTTCTGGGTATTTTTGAGCTCTAAAATCACCTGTAATTCAATAAATCCATTTTGTATTCTTGAATTTTCATTGGGTGCTTTGCGTAACCGTGGAAACCCCCGAACATTCCGCCATAGAGACGCATGTAAAGCACCCCCAAAGCCCCAGCACGATGCCCCTGCGTAGTATCTATAGTAGTGCGTCAATTTTATCTCATGTTTATCTATTTTTTTTTGGTGCGCGTGACCATGTATGGACTTCCTCTCGCTGTTGTCTCCAGCTGTGTTTCACTTCTGCGCTTTAGGTCCGAACAGGAAGCGAGAGCAGCGGGGGGGCAGCGGCAGGAAACTCTGCGCTAATTGTCTGTGTCCTATTTAAAGTGCCCTCCACGAATAGGATCTGTGAGGGTCCGACCATCACCGCTGCCGCCGCTGCCACCGCTGCGCTGCAACTCCGGGCAGGAAGTGGGCCGTGTTTGGACTTCCTGGTGCGTTCAGACGGGCCACATGTGAAGCTCGGGGCGAAACTCGGCTGGAAATCTCATCACGGAGAAACGGGGGGGAGGGAGAAAACTGTAGGGAGTCTCCGCGTGTTACTCTTTCGTCGTTTAAAACAGTCGGGGTGGCTCAGGTGGTTAAGAGGTCGCCCCAGAACCAGAAGATTGCTGGTTCAAATTCTAATAAGGCTCAATATTGATTTTCTGAAAGTAAAGAATGCAGACTTTTTGACTTTTAAAAGGTGTGTTGTGTAACTTTTCTGGTGCTTTTCTCCGTGGACATGTTATTGCTTTGTCTGGAATGTTTCACAGTGTGGCATTAAACCTTTCTATCTTCACGGAGACCAAACCAGACCAAGTTACAGGTCAGATCTGTGGAGAGGCGACACCGTTCACAGTCAGAATGTCTGTTTTTCTAAGTATTTTTGAGCAATAAAACCACCTGCAACTGAATAAATGTAAAGTAGAGCTGTTTAATGTTGCACTGTGGAACATTCCAGGCAGCGCAATGACATCTCCATAGAAACAAGCAGGTTAAACAGTTACACAGGGCACCTTTAACACAAATATTTCTAATTTCCTCCTCCAAAATTAATTCTGCTCCAAACTAGGGATGCACTGAGACGATACTGGAATTGAATATCGGCGCAGATACGGAAAAATCTCCTGGTTGGACATATAAATTCATGTGATAAGACTATTTACTGGTCACATTCGTCCCAGGAAAATCACAAAATGTTGAAATTTTTATTTATACAAAGTTGTTCTGTAGTTCTATGAGATAAATAACAGCTACATAAGACGAAACTGATATAAATGTCTCATTTCATTCTTGTTTAAAAGGTGCATTGTGTAAATTTTCTAGTGGAGGGTTCATCAAATGCTTGAAGATGTGAGAATGTTTCATCGTATGGCATTAAACCTTTCGATCTTCACGGAGACAAAACCAGACGAAGGTACAGGTCAGATCTGTGGAGAGGCGACCCGCTCAAAGTCAGAATGTCTATAGTTTCATGTTTTTCTAGGTATTTTTGAGCTTAAAAACCACCTGCAACTGAATAAATGTAAAGTAGAGCTGTTTAATGTCATATTGTGGAACATTCCAGGCAGCGCAATGACATCGCCATAGAAACAAGCAGGTTAAACAGTTACACAGTGCTTTAACACAAATATTTCTAATTTCCTCCTCCAAAATTAATTCTGCTCCAAACTAGGGATGCACTGAGATGATACTGGAATCGAATATCGCCGCAGATACGGAAAAATTCTCCTGGTTGGACATATAAATTCATGTGATAAGACTATTTACTGGTCACATTCGTCCCAGGAAAATCACAAAATGTTGAAATTTTTATTTATACAAAGTTGTTCTGTAGTTCTATGAGATAAATAACAGCTACATAAGACGAAACTGATCCAAATGTTTCATTTCATTTTTGTTTAAAAGGTGAATTGTGTAAATGTTCTAGTGGACGCTCCATCAAATGCTTGAAGATGTGAGAATATTTCACCATATGGCATTAAACCTTTCTATCTTAATGAAGACCAAATCAGACTGAGTCACAGGTCAGATCTGTGGAGAGGCGACCCCGCTCAAAGTCAGAATGCCTATAGTTTCATGGTTTTCTTGGTATGTTTGAGCTACAGAACCACCTGTAATTAAATAAATGTGAAGCAGAGCTGTTTAAAGTCTCACTGTGGAACATTTCAGGCAACATTTCAGACAGAGCAACGACGTATCCATAGAAACAAGCAGGTTAACAGTTACACAGTGCCCCTTTAACACAAATATTTCTAATTTCGTCCCTCAAAATTAATTCTGCTCCAAACTAGGGATGCACTGAGACGATACTGCTATAGAATATTGACGAAACCGAAACTGAAAAAAATTGCTGGACTGGTTATTAGTTTCCAAATATCGATACAGCTGATATACTAGTAAATTAGGGGTGTGCACTGCCATGAATCTGGCGGGCGGTAAGATACGCATCACGATACGCCTGTCACGATTCAATACATCTCGATATATCCTGACACTAAAACAAAGGATGATATATTGTAACTTATCAATAATTATGTATAATATTTTGGTCAAGTACAATTCACAAGAACAAAACTGACTGAAATACAGTTTATTTAATGTTTAAATAATGAGAACGGTAAACTGAACTTATGTTTTTCATGAAAAATTCACGACTTTCAAAAATTTATTCAGACACATTTTGCATCGATATAAGAATCGCGCAATGAAGTATCGCGATATATCACTGAATTGATATTTTCTTACACCCCTTTAGTAAATAAGACTATTTACTGGTCGCATTTGCCCCAGAAAACTACATAATGTTGGAATTTTTATTAAAACAAAGTTGTTCTGTAGTTTGGAGATAAATAGCATCTATATAAAACAAAACAGGTCCTAATGTCTTATTTCATTTTTTGTTTTAAATAAATGCTGGTTTCATTCTGCACTGGTATTATGGATAACATCGGATATCGGCAAATACTTAAAACTATAGTATAGGAATTGGCTTTAGACGTCTCCATTAAAAGTCCCAAACTGATCACGGACCATTAGAAACAAGTGAAATCTTAATTAAAATGTGATTAATTGCACAACTCTGGCGCAAATGAGTCTTTTGGTGGTCGAAAAGAGAGAACATTTGAATAAAGTTGTTGAATAAATGAAGAAATAGTGTTTAAAGAGCTCTGATAATAATATTTTAAGTGAATTAGTTAAATAATTAAAACAGAAAACATTGACTCACCCAAATGTCGGCCTTGGTGGTGATGGCTTTCCCTGCGTAGAGGTTGATCATTTCAGGAGCGCGGTAAGAAAGCGTGGTGTATCTGATGTAACGTTTAACACAGGACAAACAGAAAATCAATTAGGGTTCATATGCAAAGGCGGGTGTTTCGTACGAGATTCAAACAGCAAACAGAGTACTTTGCATGTCTGGAGTTTACACAGGACCATATACGGACGATAACACGCACACGTATCGCGCTTTATTGCTGCTGTAAATGTGGGAAAGTCAACAGAGGGAATTTAACTAGAGGTGACGGACAAACTGAGCGTGATTTCAGTCAGTGCTTTGAATATACGGTCCAGAGGAGGGACAACGAAAACATAATCTCTCTCCTCTGTTCCATATATTCTCTGTCCCTGCTCTGAATATGTGGTACAGAGGAAAGAGAGTGAATATTTACCGTAATTTCTGGACTATAAGCCGCTACTTTTTTCGCACACTCTGAACCCTGCGGCGAATAAAATGATGCGGTGAATATATGGATGGATGTTTTGTTTGGCACGTTGTCTATTCATAAATACGGTCTATGGTTTGGCAACACAGAGGATACGCGCAGCCTGAGTGCAGAAAACGTCGCTGTCTGTGGGGTTAACGTGAAGTTGCAACGTTAACTAGTCCAGCACTAAAACAGTTCATTGTTACATCAGTGAGTGGGATACATCTTAATGACCGATTCATCCATTTTCTTGCGCTTATCCGGGGCCGGGTCGCGGGGACAGTTTAAGCAGAGACTCCCAGACTTCCTTCACCCCAGACACATCCTCCAGCTCCTCCGTGGGACCCCGAGGTGTTCCCAGGCCAGCCCACAGACATAGTCCCTCCAGTGTGTCCTGGGTCTTCCCCGGGGGCCTCCTCCTGGTGGGACATGCCCAGAACAGACGCCCTCCTCTCAACTGCTCCTGTCGACATGGAGGAGCAGCGGCTCTACTCCAAGCTCCTCCAGTGTGACTGAGCTCCTCACCCTGTCTCTAAGGGAGCGCCCAGACACCCTGCGGAGGAAACTCATTTCGGCCGCTTGTATCGTTGATCTTGTCCTTTCGGTCATTACCCAGAGCTCATGACCAGAGGTGAGGGGAGGAGCGGAGACTGACGCTAAATCGAGAGCTTTGACTTTCGGCTCAGCTCCTTCTTCACCGCAACAATTTGATACAGCGGCTGCATCAATGCCGACGCTGTATGTATGTAAACACTAGAGCCCGACCGATATATCGGCTGGCCGATATTATCGGCCAATATGGGCACCTGGAGACATATCGGCTATCGGCCGATATGCTTGCTGATATGGGCCGATATTTCACGTGGGCATGTTATACCTCGTTATAAAGCTTAGACTCTCTACATTATGTTCATTTAATCCAATTTACAGACAGATAAATGTCCTAATATGTGGCTCCGCATCAGTATTTATCTGCGGTGTAATTTGTCTGTGTCCGTACTGTCCCTGAACACACCCCCAGAGTGACGTCACTTCACTCGCGTGTGTTTGTTTACACCCGCAGCCGTGCGCAACACTGAGATTATTTTCTTTTTTCGGACAATCGGTTTGAGTCTGGATTAAAAGGACATTTATTAGTGCAGACTTGTGATGTGAGGAGGAGCCTGTGTGAGCGGTGAGTGTTGGAAATACATGGACTTTGAAGCTAGTTTAGGTTTTGTTAGCGGTTAGCTGCTGTAGCTCCCGCACATAAACAGGCTTGTTTCTATTGGTCTATTGTAAAGTGCCCACATTGGCCGTATATTTGTTACTGGACCTGCATTGATGTAAATGAGCTGTGAATAGACGTGTGAATGATCCACATTTATGCATATAATTAACTACCGCGGTGCACAGCATTTACGGCTAAAGGCTAATAGCGATAGTTTACTAGCTAGGAGTTATGGGTCGGTCGCGATCGAAGCGGCTCTTAGAGCGAACAACGGGAGCCTGCTTCTTATTGGGAGCCGTGTTTTCTCTTTTTCTCGCTTTTTCTCTTCATGCCGCATGTAGACCCGTAGTTTGACAGCAGCAGCGGCTGAAAATGAAACTTTCAGAAATCTGCGTGTGCATAGGATAAAAAAAGTGCATATTTGGCTGCAGTTCAGCATAAAATGAACAAACCAGGACTAATCTTGGGCTCGAGTGCAGGAGCGAGATAGAAACCGAGTCCCAACGCTCAGTCCTGGTTCAGTTCTGGTTTAGTCCTGCTTGCAACAAAACAATCTCAAGAGTCGCTTGGGAGCCGAAAGAGCCAGCTGCTTTAGTGAGCCGAGCCAAAAGAGCCGGTTCTCCAAAAAAAAAAAAAAAAAAAAAAACTGGAATACCCATCACTAGTAGCTAGAATGTGATGCAAAAATGCCATTAGGCCAAACTACTGTCTGTAAATATGATGTAAAGAGTCAAAATAACAATAAATGTTGCCTAAATAAACCCAATTTAGAATCCACTAGAGCCAAACCTAAGTTTTTTAATCAATTCAAGATTTACAGTGAATTTTTACATCCCTAAATATATCGGCGATTATATCGGCAGCTCCAACTCCCATTATATCGGTCTCATATCGGCCACAACAAAATCCATATCGGTCGGGCTCTAGTAAACACCGTGCGTCTTAATGACCCGTATGTGTTAAATGCAGGTGAGTGAGTAAAGGATGAGAAGAAACGTCTCAAACTTCAGTCCCCGAGAGTCTGAAATCTGCTGAAATCCTACGAGGACAGACAGGACAGAGACTCTTTCTGCAGGAGACGTGCAGTAGAGCTCGGGGAGAGACGGGGATGATGTACCAAGGAAGATGCTCATTTGATTGTGTTTTGAACAGTAATTTTGCGCTTCATACACACACCCTACTCATGGAAACCACAAGTTAACAGCAATTGATGTGTCTGTGGAAGAAGGAAACAGAGCTGCTGCACGTGAACTCGACATCAGTGAGTTGATGGTGAAATTTTGGCGATGGCAGCAAAGAACTGACTGAACGCAAAAAGACGACAAAAGCTTCTGAGGCGATAAAAGCAGACGGACTGAACTTGAAAACGTTCTTGAAGACATGGACACCTGCGGCTTATATTCAGGTGCGACCTATACATGTACAATTTTGTTTTCTTTTAAAATTTAGTTGATGCCGTTTATATTCAGGTGCGCTCAATAATCCGGAAATTACGGTAGTACACGGTCCCTCCTCTGCAGCATGTATTAACTCCTCCTGTGTCCATGTTTTCCGCTCTGTTCCTGAATGCTAAATAATCACAGGTGACGGTCGGTTTTAGCGTTCTTACTTTTTAATCTCGTCCTCCACGGCGGTCACTCCTTCTTTCTGGGGCAGGAGGATTTTGTGAGTGGCGCTGCCGAAGTCGCACAGCACGTAGTTCCCCTGGTCGTTCAAAAGGATGTTCTCAACCTGAAAACACAACGCACAATATCTGTTAAAAGATGCACTGTGTAACTTTTCTGGGGGAGGGTTCGTCAAATGCTTCATGGAGACGTTATTGCTTTGTCTGGAATGTTTCACAGTGTGGCTTTAAACCTTTCTATCTTCCTGGAGACCAAACCAGACCAAGTTACAGGTCAGATCTGTGGCGTTTTCTAGGTATTTTTTGAGCTATAAAACTCACCTGTAATTGAATAAATGTAAAGTAGAGCTGCTTAATGTCCCACTGTGAAACATTTCAGTCAGAGCAATTCCGTGTCCATCCCTACGCTGGTATCGGTTAATATCGGATATCGGTAAATACTTAAAGACACAGTATCGATATTGGTATTGGAACTGAAAAACCTGGATTGGTGCATCCCTAAATGAGATTTGAACAAGTTACATCACTTGTTATAAAAACTCGCTACCCTGGGTCTCCTGTCCTTTCTCACCCCGGCCCCCTCACTCACACTCTCTCTCTTTCTCCCTCCCTCTCCTCTCTCTTGTCTTCTTTCTCTTCTCTCCCCACTCTTTCTCTTTCCCCTATCTGTCTTCTCTCTCCTCTCTCTCTCTTCACTTTCTCCTCTTGCTCTCCTCTCTCCCTTTTTCTTTCCCAGTTTTGTCTATCTTCTCTCCCTCCCTCTCCCTTTTTCTTTCCCCTAGCCATCTTCTCTCTCAACTCTGTCTCCTTTCTCCTAACCCTCTCCCCTCTCTCCACCACTCTCTCATAACTCGCTCCAGTCTTTCTTCACTCTCTTTTCTGTCCCTTCTTTCCCCTATCTCTCTTCTTTCTCTCCCCCTCTCTTCACTTTCTCCTCTTGCTCTCCCCTTTCTCTCTTCACTTTCTCCCTCTCTTCTCCCTTTTTCTTTCCCTTACCCATCTTCTCTCTCCTCTCTCTCTTCACTTTCTCCTCTTGCTCTCTTCTCTCTCCTCGCTCCCTTTTTCTTTCCCCTCTCAGTCTTCTCTCTCTCCTCACTCTCCTCACTCTCTCACTCTCCCCTCACTCTCCCCTCACTCTCTCCTCACTCTCTCCTCACTCTCTCCTCACGCTCTGCTCTCGCTCTGCTCTCTCCCCTCTCACTCTTCACTCTCTCCCTTTTTCTCTCCCCTCTCTGTCTTCTCTTTCTTCCCCCCCCCTCCCTCTCATAACTCTTCACTCTCTCTTCTCTCTCCCTTTTTCTTTCCCCTATCCGTCTTCTCTCTCCTCTTTCTCTTCACTCTCTCCTCTCTCCCTTTTTCTTTTGCCTATCTGTCTTCTTTCCTCTCTCTTCACTTTCTCCTCTTGCTCTCCTCTGTCCTCTCTCCTCTCTTCACACTCTCCCTTTTTCTTTCCTCTATGTCTTCGTTCTCCTAACTGTCCCCTCTCTCTTCACTCTTGCCTCTCTTCTTCTTTCCCCTCTCTCCCCATTTCTCTCCTCTCTCTTCACTCTCTCCTCTCGCTCTTCTCTCCTCTTTGCTTTTTTCTTTCCCCCCTCTGTTTTCTCTCTCTCCCTTCTCTCTCTTCACTCTTTCTCCCTCTCTCTCCTCTCCATTTTTCTTTCCCCTATCAGTCTTCTCTATCTTCTCTCTCTTCACTCTGTTCTCTCTCTCCCCCCATCTGTCTCCTCTCCTCTTTCTCCTCTCCCTTCTTCTTTCCCCTCTCAGTCTTCTCTCTCCTCTCTCTTGCCCTCTCCTTTCATTGTTCCCTTTCTCCCTTTTTCTTTCCCCTATCCGTCTTCTCTCTCCCCTCTCTCTTCTTCCTCCCAATTCTGTCTCCTCTCTCTTCACTCTCTCCTCTGTCCCCATTTGTCTCCTCTCTCTCTTTTCTCTTCGCCTTTTTCTCTCCCCTCTCTGTCTTCTTTCTTCTCTCCCCCTCCCTTTCATAACTCTTCACTCTCTTTTATCTCCCCCTTTTTCTTTCCCCTATCAGTCTTCTCTCTCCTCTTTCTCTTCACTCTCTCCTCTCTCCCTTTTTCTTTTGCCTATGTGTCTTCTCTCTTCTCACATCACTCTCTCCTGTTGCTCTCCTCTGTCCTCTCTCCTCTCTCCACTCTCCATTTTTCTTTCTACTATGTCTTCTCTCCTCGTTCTCCTCTCCCTTCTTCTTTCCCCTCTCAGTCTTCTCTCTCCTCTCCTCTTGGCCTCTCCCTTCATTGTTCCCTTTCTTTCTTTTTCTTTCCACTATTCGTCTTCTCTCTCCCCTCTCTGTCTTCTTTCTCCTAACTCTCTCCCCTCTCTCTTCACTCTCTCCTCTCTCCCTTCTTCTTTCCCCGCTCTCCCTATTTCTCTCCTGTCTCTCTCTCTCCACTCTCTCCTCTTGCTCTCCTCTCCTCTTTGCCTTTTTCTTTCCCCTCTCTCTCTCCTCTCTCTCTTCACTCTCTCCTCTCACTTTCACTCTCTCCTCTCCTCTTCACTCTCTCCTCTCACTCTTCACTCTCTCCTCTCCTCTCACTCTCTCTCTCTCTTCACTCTCTCCTCTCTCCCTTTTTCTCTCCCCTCTGTCTTCCCTTTCCTCTCTCCCCCTCTCTCTCATAACTCTTCCCTCTCTGTCCTCTGTCTCCTCTCTCCTCTCTCTCTCCGTCCCTCTCCCTCTTTCACTCTCCTCTTTTGTGGCGGTGTTGTGTAACGCGAGTGGGTCGAACACTGACGGGTCTGTGGAGCTGAAGAGAGCTCTGTTTTTGAGTCCGGTCCAAACGGGCCCAGACCAGGAGCGGAGCAGCCCACTGTCAGAGCACCGGGCCTGGGCACAAAGAGGCGACTCTGCCGGGGTCAGAGCCAAGACCACGAGGAAAAGGCAAGGCTGCACTCAAAGGATCTGTGGTCTAAACTGCATTATGTTGCGCTCTACAATTAAACTTAGGATAGAAACTTCTTATCGTAATTCTTGTGAGTCCAAATAAAGCTAAACTAAAGTGTGGGTTCATTATTTCTGTCTGATTGGTTAAATAATGATTGATATTAACAATTATACATATTAAACTCTTAATCTACTCTATTTATGCAGAAACTGGTGGAAATTAGGAATGCAACGATTGGATCTTGGTGAAAAAATACTGAATCTTTCTGTAGTTACTTAAAGATAGATAGATATGGATAGCAGCTACATAAACCATCAATTTTGTCTTATTTTAGTTTATTTTAAAGCAGCCATGTCAATCTCAGGCCCAAGTGCCAAACTTGACCCACAATATAATTATATTTAGCTCGTGAGGTCATGTCAAATCTGTATTAGAGCTGTCCGCCGACTACAGATAGCCTATAGAGATATTATTTATTTAAAATGTTGATATTTTTTAATATTTTGCTTGTTCTGGATTCAATGTTTAAGCAAAACTATTAATAAACATTTATTTTAATAGGAAAAGGTTTAACATTACATATCTCGAAAGAAGAGAAAACACGCAGATGTTGTTGAAGTTTTCCATTAGATATTTAGCTTGGCCCAGGACTTAGTTCCAGTTTTTAATTTTGGCCTCTGTGAATTTGAGTTTGACACTGCAGGTTTAAAGGAAATAAATGTTTTCAGTGGTATCTGCACTGGTATTGGTTCATATCTGGTTTCGGCAGATACAGAAATCAATATAGGAACTTCATACTTCCTCCCACCCCCCCAAAAATCATGAATAATGTGTGAGTCGACTGGTGGCCATGTTTATTGTTTTCTCCGCAAAACAATTATTACTTTATTTCCTGTTGGAACCAAATGGATTGCCACCCATCTATCCATTTTCTTCCGCTTATCCGGGGCTGGGTCGCAGGGGCAGCAGTCTAAGCAGGGACTCCCAGACTTCCTTCACATGTGGAGCAGCAGCAGCTCTACTCCGAGCTCCTCACCCTATCTCTAAGGGAGACGCCCAGACACCCTGCGGAGGAAACTCATTTGTGCCGCTTGTATTGGCGATCTCATCCTTTCAGTCATTACCCAGAGCTCATGACCAGAGGTGAGGGGAGGAACGGAGACTGACGGTAAATCGAGACTCAGCTCCTCTTCGCCACAACGGTCCAATACAGCGACCGCGTCACTGCCCACGCTGCACCTGTCCACCTGTCAATCTCACGCTCCATCCTCCCCTCACTCGAGAACAAGACCCAGAGATATTTGAACTCCTCCACTTGAGGCAGGGAAATGGAATGTTTTTACTTATAATGGTAAAGTACTTACACAAAAGTTATTATTATTAGTTATTATGTTTGTGGGAATTTATTACGCTTGAATCGGAGAGTTTTTGTGTTCAGTTCACAGTTTATTACGCTTGTGGAGATTATGAAGGTACGCAACCGGAGATCTTTCTTTACCTTGAGGTCTCGGTGGATGACGGGCGTTTTACACTGATGGAGACGGGCCACAGCTTCGCACGTGTCACAGAAAATATGGAGCACCTCCACCTCTGTGAAGCCCACGCTCAGACGCTGGTTCATCTGCTTCACCACCTGACCCGCTGCAGAGACAGAAAGACATCCATCAGTTCATCACTAAATGTTTTACAACCAACATTTAACACCCGCCATTTATGACTCTACATTTTACACCTATCAGTTTACTCTCACCATTTTACACTCGCCAGTTTGTTCTCACCATTTTACTCTCACCATTTTACTCTTGCCAGTTTACACTCCATATTTTACACTCGCCAGTTTACTCTCGCCAGTTTACTCTTGCCAGTTTACTCTCACCATTTTACTCTCGCCAGTTTACACTCGCCAGTTTGTTCTCACCATTTTACTCTCGCCAGTTTACACTCCATATTTCACACTCCATATTTTACACTCGCCAGTTTACACTCACCATTTTACACTCGCCAGTTTACACTCACCATTTTTTACTCTCGCCAGTTTACACTCGCCAGTTTGTTCTCACCATTTTACTCTCGCCAGTTTACACTCCATATTTCACACTCCATATTTTACACTCGCCAGTTTACACTCACCATTTTACTCTCGCCAGTTTACACTCCATATTTCACACTCCATATTTCACACTCGCCAGTTTACACTCACCAGTTTACACTCACCATTTTACACTCACCAGTTTACTCTCACCATTTTACTCTCGCCAGTTTACACTCCATATTTCACACTCCATATTTTTACACTCGCCAGTTTACACTCACCAGTTTACACCTTCCAGTTTACACTTGCCCTTTAACAATCACTAGATTACACTCAGCATTTTACACTCGTTATCGAGCCTGCGTTCTATGGGGCTGCTATGGTATGCTTTGACAGGAATGTTCCACAGTACGGCATTAAACTGATCTGTCCCAATACAAACGAGCAGGCGACGCCACCAGGCCGAGTTGCCAGGCAGAGTCACTGGAAGAAGGCAGGTTTTTAAATACACTTTAAGCCAAAAAAAAAAAAAAAAAACACTTATTGGCGGAATATTCTAGCCAAAGCAAAAACATCTCATGGAGGTAAGCAAAAGGAGGATGTATTTATTTATTATTACATGTTGCATTTGTTTGTTTCAGTTCTCAAATCTATTATCTAACCAGAAAAGTCCCTCGCTTCAGGTCGCCAGATGGTGTTTACGTTGTGGCTGTGGTGCCTAAAGGTGCACTGTGTAACTTTTTCGGTCCGTCACCTGCTTGTTTCTATGGATACATCATTGCTCTGCCTGGAATGTCCCACAGTGTGACATTAAACAGCTCTACTTTACATTTATTCAATCACAGGTGGTTTTATAGCTCAAAAATACCTAGAGAAACAGACATTCTGACTGTGAGCGGGTTCGCCTCTCCGCAGATCTGACCTGTAACTTGGCCTGGTTTGGTCTCCATGAAGATAGAAAGGTTTAATATCATAACTGCGAAACATTCCAGGCAGAGTAATAACATCTCCACAGAGAAAAGCGTTTTAACAGACCCTCCACCAGAAAAGTTACCGTATTTTTTGGACTATAAGTGGCACTTTTTTTCATGGTTTGTGTGTTTCCGGTTCGACTTCTATATTAAAATGTTTGAGTGAAGTGTGGAGAGGTTCTAGTCTTGTGTGTGAGGATCTGCTGCTCCTGTTCCTCCTGTACCACTGTCACTTGGCTCTACTGCGCATGTCTCCTGCAGAAAGAGCCTCTGTCCTGCTGCAAGTCGTGAAATCTGCAGCTGAAAACGGAAATCGAGCAGCAGAAAGAAAGTTTGTGACAGCGGGAGGATGCACCATGAAACTTTCCTGAAGTCACTGGATGGATGGACATAGCCCGGACTTCAGTGACACCGAAACCATCCTGTTAGGATTGAGAAAGACCCGAATAATTCTAACTGGAACTGATGCTGAGTGTCATGGTTCATGTTTTGTAGTCATTGTTTTTGCTTCTTTTGGTATATTTTTTTTACAGTAGTGTAGTGTGCCTTTAGGGTTTTATTTTGACATTTGTCCTGTCAGCTTCTAGTTTAGAGTTTTACTTCCTGTCTGTTGATCGTTTGCCTCGCCCTGATGTGTTTCACCTGTACCTGTGTGCTTATATACCATGTGTTTTCCTCTGACAAAGACAAAGACAATGGACCAACAAAGGGCAGTTTCATGTCTAGTGTAGTTTCTATTTTTGGATTTGTTTTGTTTTTGTTGCATTAAACAACTGAAAAGCAGTCCTGATTTTGGGTCCTCCCTCTGTTTCTACATGACACTGAGTCTGACGACAGCGACACAGAAGAGTTTGCGTCGCTCTGTTTACCTCCGGAGGTCGAGGTCGAGTTGTTCAGAAGTGACACCTGAGGATGAAGAATTGAATGGATTTAGTGATCTGGAGTGAGATGGAGAGTTTGGTAAACTTGTTCTGTTCTGTTGTTGATGTTATAGTTTATCTGAAGAACTGTGAAATATGTGACGTTTACAGACTAGATGACTATTAAGCCTGTTCTGTTTTTTGGTTATTACTAGAACTTGAATTTCAGCATAAAATGTCAGTTCCTGGTCTCTGATTTCATCAAATAAATTTCCCCCAAAAAGCGAGACTTATAGTCCAGTGTGACTTATATATGTTTTTTTTCTTCTTCATTGTACATTTTTTGGCTGGTGCGACTTATACTCTGGAGCGACATAGGCTACGTTCAGACTGCAGGGCTTAACGCTCAATTCTGACTGTTTTGTGAAATCCGATGTTTTTTCGAGGTCGTTCACATTTCCAGTTAAATGTGACTTGTATGTGACTCCAGTGTGAATATTAAACGGCCCAAAAGTGTCCCACATGTGACACTGGAGACACGACGACGTCAACCGCAGCGAGCGTCTCTGTGTTTACAGAAGTTGTCCAAACATGGACGCAGCATCGAGCACCTGGAGATTTTAAAGTTCCTCTCGTACCGGAGCCAGAACATGAACAACTTACTTGTTTTAAGGAGGAGATTGAGAAGGAGAAGGACGAGGTTTTTGGTCGTGGTGTTTTGTGGTTCAGTCCGTTGAAAGGAACGTGTGGATGTGGAGATGGAGCCAAGAGTGGTGAGTGGTGATGTGCTTCGCTTCAGTGACACGGAGTTCATTAACAATTTTCGCCGACTTCAGAGCAGAATAGTGACGTTTGTGTCTTGTTGATAACGTGTAGGTCGATGAATGCGCTTTGACCGTTCAGACTTAAGTCACATGTCAAAAGATCAGATATGTATCAGTTTCAGGAGCACATATCCAAGTGTCCTGGGTCACATTTGAAAAAATTGGATCTGTGTGGTTCAGACTGTCATTAAAAGATCAGATACAGGAACATAGAGGCCAAAAAATCGGATTTGGGTCACTTCAAGTGCAGTCTGAACGTAACCTTATAGTCCGAAAAATACGGTACACAATACACCTTCAAACTACCCTTAAAATGTACGCAGATAAATGGCAAATATGAAAGAAAACGTGATAATTTTAGCTAAACCAATATAAGATTTAAAAGCATTTCAAAACTCGGTGCGGATCCATTAAAGGGAAGGCGAGCTGTAAGTACTTTTAAGCACCCTTCATGATTTTATGTTCTAGAATCACTATAGTTTCAAAGTGAGCCCGAGAACAGAGGAGAATCTTATGGTGGAATTTGACTTTTCATCGTCAAAATGCCGATTTGTTGACCTGATTTATGGTTAATACAAAACAGCACAAAGAACTCTCTGACAGAATAAACAAACAAAAGACGAGCTGTTGTTATTATTAATACAATTTTCACAATAGCTTCAGAAAGTTGTGCCATTTTTCAATCCCACAGACTTAATCGTTGTCAGGTGAATGGACTTGAAGCATTTAGAGAAATAAATAGAGTGAATTCCTTGCAAATATTCTTAAAGGTGTATTCTGTAACCTGCTTGTTTCTATGGAGGTGTCATTGATCTGTCTGGAATGTTCCACAGTGTGACATTAAACAGCTGTACTTTACATTTATTCAATTACAGGTGGTTTTATAGCTCAAAAATACCTAGAAAAACATGAAACTAGGCATTCTGACTGTGAGCGGGGTCGCCTCTCCACAGATCTGACCTGTAACTTGGTCTGGTTTGGTCTCCATGAAGATAGAAAGGTTTACCGTCGTCCCTCGCTATATCGTGGTTCACCTTTCGCGGTCTCGTTTCGCAGATTTTTTTTGGCGCAATTTTTCTTTTTTTTTTTCTTTTTTTTTTTTTACAGCGTATGAACACGTATTGCGTATTACGGATGGGTAGTTATTACACACAGGTGGGTCAGGACTAAACCAGGTCTAAACCAGGACTAATCTTGAATTTAAGAGAGAGAACGCCGAGCAGTTTGTCTGCAAAGTGAGATTGAGCAATTGCCGCGTTTACCTCCGTGAGGTGCAGAACTCTGCATGGGTCCTTTCTCCTGCGTCACCTCCGAGCTCGTCCTGGTTTAGTCCTGGTTTAGTCCTGGTTTAGTCCTGGTTTAGTCCTGGAATGAGTTCTAGGTTAGTCCTGGTTTAGTCCTGGATTAGTTCTAGGTTAGTCCTGTTTCAGTCCTGGATTAGTCCTGGATTAGTCCTCCTCTTCAGTCCTGGAATCAGTCCTGGTTTAGTCCTGGTTCAGTCCAATGAATCTTGGGTTCATTACATAAAGGAGGAAAATAAAAGGACGACAGCAGCAATAAGTTTTAAGAAGGATGTAAAAAGTGTTGTAATTGTCCTGTGTGAGAAAAGTGTATAAAGTTTGTGCTGAGGGGTTTTACACACTTAAAACAGATATAACAATTGTAAAATATAAAGTTGACGGGTTATTTTAGAAAGTAACCCCCGCGATAAACGAGGGACCACTGTAATTCCAGGCAAAGCAATAACATCTCCACAGAGAAAACCGTTTTGATGGACCCTCAACTAGAAAAGTTACACAACACGTTTAAACATTTTCCGTTTGTCGTTTTCAACATTTCTTCCAAAAACAGAAAATCTCGCACAAATGTACAGACACTGCCGACCCCTGAAAACGGTTCCTGAACATTTTGAGCTGTTCGGTTTCAGTTTCATGACGTGATTTCGAGTCCAGGTGTGTGTTGTACCTTTGCAGTACTCCATGAGGATGAGCACCTCCCACACGCTCTCAGACACGGGGTTTATGGTCGAGTCCAGATACGCCACGATGTTCTTGTGCCCCGACAGCTCTTTCTGCAAACGACAAAAACAAAATGCACTTTAACGAACGCTCAATCAACCCCTCACAAATGTTAAAGTTGTGTTTTGCCATTTTCTGATCTGTTCTAATGTAGTTTCCTCGTCACAAACAAACCTGGAGTTGTGTTTCGTTTCATTCTTTTGTACATGTTTTACACAAGTTCTTCTCTCAAACTGAAAACGTTAATACGGGAAGTGCTCCACTGTGTTTTTAAACTCCACACACCTTCACTAGAATCATTTGGATCATTTCAGCCCTGGAATTGCCGATCACTACTGAATTAAATGTAAAAAGTAAAAGCTGTTAACTTGAAAATTAAAGCTTCTAGGGATGGGACAAGACGCAATTTTCACGAAATTGGGTTCACAAGAACGAGAAAAGATGAGATTTTGACATAATTTGTAAGAAATAATAACGTAGTGCAATCCATTTCACAATTTTGGCTTTGTTATTTTAATTTGATGATACTTTATTGGTCCTTGTGTACGGCTTTTTTCGAACTACAGCTTCTTAAACTTTGCCAGCTCTTAAATCTTTTTCTGTCCAAGCCAAAGGTAAATTCAGGAGGAAAAAATGTCACGAGATAATTTTTCTCTTGTGGCAATTTTGTCTCGTGAGATCTTGTCCAATCCCTAACAGCTTCATGACATCACAAGGTGGAACAAAGTATTTTGAACTTTGAAGATGGAGACAGACTTATAATAAAGAGTTACTCATTCAGAGTTACTGAATGAAACAAAACACAAATCCATGTATGTTTTTGTGTTTTTGAGGAGGTAACAACATTATAACATGTCTAAAATCTCACAAGAGTCAGTTTGGTGTAATATAGAACCAAGCGCCGGGGTTTTAAAATGGGCCGAGCTCAATGGTTCATCATTCCAGATTTGCCTTTAGCCCAGTGAGGTACTTCCGGCGACTCTGGGCCGATTGAGCATGTGCAGTAACGTCTTTTCTCCCGCGGGCACATGCCAATGCACACGAGCACACAGGGAGCGCGGGCTTGTGTATCACGTGATCGCTTTGACCAATCAGAGCGAGAGGAGCCAGACTGAAGCAGAGCTGAGCTGGAGCGAACGATGATAAAGCGTTTTTGAGCCAACTGAAGGATTTTCAGCTGAGAAAAGTTTATGATGTAAAAATAGGTAAAAATCGCCACAAAATCTGACTTTTGAAAGGTGTAGGTGCAGTTTGTAATTACATTGCGCTCTATGAGAAAAATTCTTTCTTGGCCCAGGGGATATTTTCCGCTGAAGTACCCAGGCTGGCACCACCTAGTGCTTCTGCTCAGTTTCATTTCTCTCTAGCGACTAGGTCAGGAATCAGAATACACTAGACAGTTCGCAAAAAACCCGGAAGTGCGAGTTCAGGCACCACCCAGTCAGCAAAGAGCCATATATTCTGTGTTGTCAACGATTCCCGAGATCGAGGATTTAAAGCCGGAACAAAGAGAATGTTTGGTCAATTTTATCAAGGGGAAAGACGTTATTGTCCTTACAGGATTTGGGAAAAGCTTATAGGGCCCAGCTCATGCAAAATCAACTTTTCAGAGCTTTCTGCCTACTAAGAGTGATGTGTGGGCCTTGTATTTGTCACCAAAGTGGTTTTTAGATTGATTTAGTGACATCGAACTAAAGCTGCTACAACGATGACTCGTTTGACGTAGCAGAAAGCGCTTCAGGACGGGCGGGGGGAGGAGCAATAGTCGGACTTTCATAGTTCCTGGTCTGTGACTGTCTCCAAGAAACCAGTAAGATTTCAGAACTATTGTGTGATGGATGTTCCAAAACCCAAATTGTGCTTGTTTATGTGCAGAAGATACAATGCGAAGAGAGTTATTTTACATAAGATGGGCACTTTAATATACCAGTTAACCCCGTTAGCTGCACATTACATACGTCACGACCAACCAGCAGCGATTGGTTAAATAAAAAAAGTACTCGCCTACTGTCGAGCGAACGAATTCTAACACTGCGAGGTCAGACTGTTTCTGAGACGGTTTCTACGAAGTGAAACCGGCTGATGAATCAGGCTACCAGTGAGTGGCCACTACGCCATCTGGAGGCAGCAACAAGCAGCAACACTTTCCAGTTGTTTCAACAGAACCATGACCTCTGATCGACCTCTAAAACGCAGACATGAAGCGTTTTATTTTCCGATAATCAGGTAGTGTTATCACGCTAGTCGTTGCTATACTGTGATCGCAAACGCTGCGGTCTCTAAAAGTTTGGAAAAGCACTCAGAAACTCATCGTGGTGAATAATTAGGATGCTCTGAATGCATAAGATAAGAAATAAGTCAAACAATGGAGTAGTTCTGTTTTTCATGTGTTTAAGACGGTAAAAATCAGGTACGGCGCCTTTAAAAGTTTCAAAGTTTAATAGTTGCTACTAATATCCCACTCATCATGGCCATAAAATGTTTTCTAATTGCAAAAGTAATAAATACGAGTTAGTTAAGTTAAATATATACATATTAAAAAAAACAAAAAACATTTTTTTGTCATTATATACTGGACACAAGTAAATTACAATATAGCTCAACAGATCTGTTCCTAAACACACACAAAAAAAATAATATAACAACATGCAAAAATTATGTTGTCTCAACAGTGCCGCAACTATTTCAGGAATTTATCTTACATATTTCAATGAAATAAGACCTTCCTAAAAGTGATTCTGAATGATTTTTGAACAAATACTGTAGCTTTCTAAGTTTCTTGTGTTGCACTGCTTACAAATAATGTTCACGGCAGCAGGTAAAGAAATAATTAATGTCTCTTCCAAAATCTAAACATTTTTGAAAATACAATTTCATATTAAACTTCTACAAGCAAATGAGGATTATATTGATATTACAAACTAAAAAAATGCGGCCCTACATTTGGTCTCGCTACATTCACATTTCACTTTATTATGATATAGAAGCTGATTTTCTAACTCAATACATCACAGTGACGCGGCGGCGAGAACGCCCCCCCCCCTCCCGGGCACAGCAGGTCCCCGTGTGCCGCCCAAGAGAAGGAGACGCCCAGAGGGAGGAGGGGGACGTTCAAGCCGAGAGAATGGGAAGCTTGAGCTGGGACTTTCAAGCCAGGGGGACACTCGAGCCGGTATTCTTATAAACAAATCGTGGTGAATAATTAAGATGCTCTGAATGCATAAGGTAAGAGAGGAATAACTCTGAACAGCTGCAAACTGTTTACAATGGAGTAGTTCTGTTTTTCATGTGTTTAAGACGGTAAAAATCTGGTACGGCGCCTTTAAGAGTTTTAAAGTTTAATAGACGCTACTCATTATGACTATAAAATGTTTTCTAATTGCAAAAGTAATAAATGCGACTGATAATTCTTTTATTATTGGTCACAGGTTAAGCCCTTAAAACGTCTCGGTGTTTTTACGTGTTGAAAAAGTCTGTGGGTTTATGAGGTGGGAGGGCACGATTCGGCTCCATAAAAACAAAGACTCACTTTTATTCGAGCACGTTTTTCACGCTGGAGTTTAATCAGCCCATTTTTCTCCAGCGGCTGCTCTGCTCGTGTCACCCTGACCCAGTCCAAATCATATCTGCTCCGGTAACGCACTTTGATCAGAGGAAACTGCAGCCGAGGGAAGGGAACACACGTCTCGCTGTCAGTCACTATATTAACACGGTATTGATATAAAAAAAAAATACACGTTTACATTTTAAATAGACTTCTAGAAACTCAAATTACTTTTCTATCAGACCAGTATTAGCCATTTATGATGAAACGGAACCAAAACCAGATGTAAACCAGATGTAATCGAACCAAAAGCCAGCATGTTAGTTATTAAAAAATTTGAATAATCATTAAATCATGTTGTTTTTACAATAAATCTAACACTAATATTTGATCATGACACAGCTGTTTCTGGCACACACAGTCAAAGTCCTTATTCTGATTAGTATTATTAGTATCACGAGTGCAGCACGGTCGTATAAACGAGCGCCAAGAACTCGTCCTCCAACGCTCACCCAGGACACACGCACACATTATAACACTAAAACAATATTATAACAGTATCATAACAACATTATATTAGTATTAAAACAACATTATAACAGTTTTGGATGGTACAACATTGTGTACCAACAGAATCTCGTGAGATACAAAATTGCCACAAGATCGTTCACACAGAAAAAATGTCACAAGATTTTAATTATTTTTTTTCTTAAGTGTTTACATTTGGAAAGGACAGAAAAGGGTCACGTGTTGGTGAGTTACGTCTTACAGTTCCAAAAAGCAGCACTAGAATGGAAACAAAAATATCAATCAATCAAACTTTATTTGTATAGCACTTTTCATACATTTGAAATGTAGCACAAAGTGCTTCACATGCAACAGAAACATTTTTAATACATTAATTAACACCCCCCCCTCCCATACCACAATTTAAACAGAAACATAAAAACTAAAAAAACTAATAAAAAATATGAAATCAAATAAATGAATAAAAAATAATGATGCAAAACTGGAAACTGAACCATGAAATATATATATATATATATATATATATATATATATATATATATATATTATATTTTTTTTTTTTATTATATTAAAATCTTGTCTTGTCTCGTTCTCGTCAACCCAATAGATCTTTTTTACAGTGGCCAGATGTGCCCCGGAGAAGGGTTAGAAGAACTTCAGGTTAATGGTTTTCTATGGCAAAATGTCTGTGGAAATGTCTCGCATATTTTCCACCAGGTCCATAAATCTACTACACAACTCTCAAGGGAAGAAAGACAAAAGCTTAAAGGAGAACAACGACGAGCATTAGTGATCTATTGAACAAAACTAACGTTATGGTCATGAATAACGTAAGTAATAAGAAATTCATTATAATAAGCAACTTGTTACACTCAGATTGATTCTAGAATAAAAATAAAAAATCGATTTCATGATGTAGACATGTCGTCAAGCTGGCACCACCTAGTGCCTCGGCTCAATTTAATTTCTCTCCAGTGACAG